TTAATTACTACTATCAAAAGCGAAGAGTATATTGCCTACTTTTTATATCTTCAGCAAGTATAAAAATAGTTACTTTTAGCTTATAAGAATAATTAACAAAGCTTGAAATTAGCGAGAAACCAAGCAATTGAGACTAAAATTAGTTAAAATATTGCAATCTTATTTTTTTTTAAGGATATCTACTTTGATAGGAGCTTTAAGGATTAGGGGATTTTTTGGCAACAGTGATTATTTTTGTGCATATAAACTAAAATATAAAATAATATTTCAGGATTGACTTACTAAATATTGTTGAAAGTACATACTTTAGTTATTAAAGATTAAATAAATTTTATTTATATTCCTTTTAACAAAAAAATTAATAATCTAAAAACATAATGACACAATTTATATAAAATTAAATACTCAAAAAATAAAAACAACATAATTATAAAATTAAGCTCTTTTAGATTTAAAGCTACCAGTAAATGTTTTAGTGATTTATTTATTTAAGTGATTGTTTTTTATTTAATTTGAATTGTTAAAAACAAACATTAAATTATAAGTGGTCACAGATTGTTTGTTTTTTTAAGTAAAGATACTAATGATTGATTTCTAAAAAACATTTGAGGTTTTTATCTCGTTATTTTGAATGAAAGTTATCTATGCCTTTATGTTGAAACAGAACTTGAATGAATAGAGTGAATTGCATGCATCGATTAAGATTTGATTCTAAATTCAATGGTTTTTCTGAATTTCTATTCTAACTGTTGCAGAACCTCTTGTTTTAATGTTAATGCTTGCTTATTAGAGAAATTAAATCTTTTGACAATATCATAGATGGATTTAAATTCATTGTTTGTTTTCATTATTCTTTATATTTATGTAATTTATGAGATTTAAAATAATAGAAAAAGTAAAATCTCTAAGAATATTTCAATCAGGAATAACTTAGAAATTAATGAGGCTATGAAAAATATCCTTGATATATATAATGAACATGTCATTTTTGTGATAATACATTTTTAATTTTTTATAATTAGAAATAACAGAATAAAAAATAATTATTAGATATTAAAATTTTTGGAAATGAATCCATTCAAATATCTCATAAATGTAAATATTAATGCCTGCATTTATATAAATTAACAATATTTCTAAATAGGAAAAAATTATGTTAGAATAGTAGAAATAATTTGTTAATTTTAAAATAAAGTTATTTATTGAACCCCATATAAGGTTGCTCAGCAATTTTGAAATAAGGTAATCCAAACCAAATTGAATTCGAAAACGGAAACATTGCTTTAGCAATATTTGTAAAAATAAAAATCGATTTTTAATTAATGCAGTCACAACCAGGAATTTTAGATTTATCAGCTTATAATTTACCGAAAAGTGATTCTTTACCTTTAAGAATACAAGAAAACTTTTCTCTTTATAGTGTTAGATATACTTAATTAGTTGTTGTGGGAATTGCAATAGGAGGGTCTGCTAAATCTATATAGAAGACTTACTAAATTTGCAGTTTTGCTAACTCTCTTTCTTAGTTATTTAGGGTAATATTATGCAATTAAAATAAAGATGGGCTTATATCATGAAATAAAGTGCTATTTTAGATTACCTACCTGATTTAGGATTTATCAATACTTAAGACAAAAAAATGATACTTTTACTTCTATGTAACATAAATATCAATAATTTAGTTAATATTTTATTAATTTTGGCTATTTCAGGCCCTCAAATATTGATATATTTAGGCCTTGGATGTTTAATTGTAATTTTACATGCATCATTATGGAAAAGTCCTTCAACACTTCCAGGATAAGAAATTTAGTAAGAGTTCGATAAAGTTTTAATGCAAAATGATGTTGAATTAATTATTCATTGAAGGATTTAAATACAAATTATTATATTAATTCACAAACCATGCTTCTTTATGCAAAGAATAGGGAAAGAGGATAAATGAACTTTATAGAATTCAATTTCATTATCATACATATTTACTTAATTTTGAGGGGCATATCAATGAATATGCTTTAATTTTTTCCATAATTGATTATGGTTTTTTTTTCGAACTTTTTATTCATATATTACTTGCCCTCATTTTATCTTATTTAATAGGAGATATAGAATAACTAAATTAATTATCTTTATTCTTTTTTTTGAGGTTAAGGTATTTCCTACAAAGGAGCTGAAAATAATTACCTATGAACTTTGGTTTGAAAAATACCATTTAGAGGTGCAACTTTAGGCTTGACATACTTAATAATAATATGATGCTCAAAATTTAATTGGCAATCAGCTATTCTTCATTTGGATTATTTTATAAGAAATTAAGCATTCTTTATTTTGAATTAGAGCTTGAATATTTCAAATAAATTGTTTATCTGTAAACTAGTCAGCATTATTTACATAATTATAAATAATCATTTACTGATATAAATAATAATTTAGCCTTAAGAAAAAAATACAATTATTGATCATCTTATTAAATTTTTTTTTTAATTATTTCACAATATTATAAATATTTTTAATAGCAATATTTTCAATTAAATTTAGTTTTGTTCTATTTCTATCTGTGAAGGGAGAGAAGCCCCTCAAACCCATAAAAATTATGCTCACTAAGATAATTAAATTGATCTAATTTTCATAAGGATAAGAAATTTGTTCAAACAACTAAATTATAAATATTTAAAAATACATAGCTTAAAGTTCAGCCTTTGTTTTAAAATTAATGGAGATAACTAATACAACAGAAAAAGAACTTAAATTTAAAAGTAAAGCTAATTTAAATTATATAAATTACCATATTTTGTCTTACTTCAGCTATTTTTATTTCCATATGATTGAAATACTCGTTTCGACACCTATCCATCTCATTTCATATAAAACTTTTCTTGCTGTTAAGGATTATACTATTTCAAAAGATCAATAAAAACCATTTATTTTAAATTTGTAATTATAATATTAATATTATCTATCATAACAACTCTTTTCTTCTTCTACACTTCAATTTTGGCACATCATTCAACCATTTCTGTGTTATGGAAACCACAAAAACTACATTAGATGGTCGCAGTTCTTTTTCTTTGGCTTATAATGACTAATGTTCGGCTTAATCCATATTTCCAAATATCTATTTAATATGGAAGAGTGTTAATTCAGCAAATAGAAATCCATATTTCAATCTGATTGCCTTTTATTCTTTAAGTAAAGCTAATCCAACCTAAAAAATTAAGTCTTGGTTCTCTTTATCAATTCCTTCAACAATTCCCATATATTATCTCCTAATTTATGTTCTTCTCTCTTCTTATCTCAATTAGACTAATTCATTTTTTAGAATTCGATATTCGTTAATCAACGGGCTTAAAAATACAGTTTCAATTCCTTATTTTTCTGCTAAGTCTACTTTGGGACAAGATTCAATAAATTCTAAGTCGTTATCAAAAGTGACTAAATTAACAACTGGTTGTCTTTCAGAATCTACTTTGATTCCTCCTGTATAAACAAATTTAACTCTTTTTAGTTATTCATGTGGGTAGAGACCTCCCCTAAGATGACATAAATTATCAGTTTTTAAGCTATCAGGGTCAGGCTCAGGATTAAAAAGTGGGGAAAATTTAGCATCTACTGCAGGTAGCTACAAAATAACTGTTTTTGCATCAACAGTTTATTTTAAAACTTCATTTATAATATTTACTTTTTCTTATTCATCTTCACTAAAATTAGGAGATGGTTTGCCATTTTCATCGTCAGATATTGTAATTACAACAGGGTTAGGTTTGACTCTTTTTGCAGTAGGGAAATCACCTCCATTCTCATTGTCATGACTGTTATTATTATTTCTGTCCTATCCTCTATCCCCACCTCTATCAAATCCTCTATCTCCACCTCTATCAAATCCTCTATCTCCTCCTCTACCTCTTCCTCTTCCTCTACCTCTTCCTCTTTCACCGTTTGATTATTGATTATTGGATCCCCATCCATCATTTTATTTAGGTTAATCAGAGCTTCCCCAACCGTTTGATTATTATTAATCGTTGTTGCTGCTTCCCCAGCCACCATTAGATTATTAAGGAGCGTCAGAACTGCCCCAACCACCACTTTAATTTGGCTATTCGGTGGCTGTAGATCCCCAGCCTCCACTCTAAGCAGGTTATTCGGCTGGTTATTCTGTGGCTGTAGAACCCCATCCTCCATTCTAAGCTGGTTATTCAGTAGCTGTAGATCCCCATCCTCCACTTTAAGCAGGTTATTCAGTAGCTGTAGATCCCCAACCTCCGCTTTAAGCAGGTTATTCAACTGCAGAAGATCCCCACCCTCCATTTTAAGGTGGTTATTCAGTTGCTGTAGATCCCCATCCTCCACTTGATTGTGGTTATTCAGTAGCTGTAGATCCCCAACCTCCACTTTAAGCAGGTTATTCAGTTGCAGAAGATCCCCATCCTCCACCATTTTAATCATTTGAGGCTCCTCCCCAACCTCCTTAATTTCCAGAAGTATCATTATCTCTACCTCCTCTAAATCCACCTCTTCTATCTCCTCTATCTCCACCTCTATCACCTCTACCTCTGAATCCTCCTCTATCTCCACGGTCTCCTCTTCCTCTAAATCCATCCCCTCTACCTCTAAATCCTTCTCCGCCACCTCTATCTCCTCTACCTCTAAATCCATCTCCTCTTCCTCTAAAACTTCCTCTATCTCCGCGATCTCCTCTTCCTCTACCTCGTCCTCTTTGTCCCTCTTCAGATCCTCCTCCTCCACCCCAAGAATTACCATTTTACTGATCTGATGAACCTCCCCAACCTCCACTTGATTGAGCGGGTTAACTACCCCATCCACCTGAAGTATTTGTTTATTCAGTTGTAGATCCCCATCCTCCAGATTATGGTTAATCTGATGTTGCATATGTTGTTGAACCCCAACCGCCTGATGTTGGCTATTATTCTTATGTTGTTGTAGATCCCCAACCTCCTTATTATTATGGTTACTCTGTTGTTTAAGATCCCCATCCTCCTGATGTCTATGCTGGTTGTTCAGTATTTGATGAACCCCATCCATTAGATTATTAAGCTGGTTATTCAGTTGTTTATTCCTTACATCCATCGCTAGGTTATTATGGAGCTTATTCTGCTGTAGATCCCCATCCTCCTTATTATGGTTGCTATTCTATTTTACTACCCCAACCTTCAGATGTTTATTAAGCTGGTTATTCAGTCTAATTTCCCCATCCTCCAGATTATTGTGGCTGTTCTGTTGCAGTACTTCCCCATCCTCCGCCTGATGAAGCTGGTTATTCATTAGCTGAAGAACTACCCCAGCCACCTCCAGAATTATCCTTATTATCTGAATTTCCCCAAGAATTTCCTTCTCCATTACCTCCCCAACTATTTCCTCCTCCATTATTATTATTGTTTGAGTTTCCTCCCCAACTTCCACCATTATCTCTACCTCCTCTAAATCCACCTCTTCTATCTCCTCTATCTCCACCTCTATCACCTCTACCTCTAAATCCTCCTCTATCTCCACGGTCTCCTCTTCCTCTAAATCCGTCTCCTCTTCCTCTAAAACCATCTCCTCTATCTCCTCTGCCTCTAAAACCGCCTCCCCTATCTCCTCTATCTCCTCTTCCTCGACCTCTTGGTCGATCTGATTAAAAATTATTATCTGAATTCCCTCCACTTCCCCATTATGTTGAACCACCTCCCCATGATGATCCTGCATTATCTCCAGTAGTTGTGGTTCCAAATCCTGTAGTTCCTGATCCCCAAGCATTATCATTATTTTCAGCTTTACTTTCTCCCCAAGAGGATTATTGCTACTCAGGTTGGTTTCCCCAACCTCCTGATGTTCCTTATGCCTCATTTTTAACATTATTTTCTTTGTTCTCCTTTTTTTCATCTTGCCCCCATTAATTATCTTGAGTTTTTTTCACTTCATCTACTTACCATCCTCCTGCATTCTATTCTCCACCCAAAATTGGAGTGGAATCAGTTGGTTTAACTTCACCTTCCTCAAGGTTTTCTGCATTCCAACTCATATGAATATTTAATTAATAAGTGGGTGGACCAATTTTTAGATTGATTTATGCTAATTTATGAAGTGAATAATTGGATTTTTTTTATAAAATGGCTTGTTTTAGATTTCTTAAATGATTAAATATTCATTTTTAATGTTTTAACGATAAATATTATAGGTTTGCATCTTATTCATTAATATTTCTTATATTTATTATTGAAATTTCCAGATATAAATTTATCATGATATTAATTTTCCTTATCAAATATATCGAAGCAACATTACTCATCTATTTTAACAGATCAACATCAACATCGATTTTCCTTTGGCAGTTCTTGATGTGGCCTTCGTAGTGCTCTTTTTGAAAAATGTGTAAGAATTATATGAACATATTTTATATAGATTCCCTAAATTAAGATGAAGGATTAACCAAATTCTTATTTCTCTTCACATCCAGATGATAAATGGAACCATAATTGACTGATAGCCCTTAATGATTAAGATTATATGGGTCACAAAAACTTCTAAGCTCTTTTTTTTAAATTTATCTGCTTTTTTCATTTTCCATGCTAATTTTATTCAATTTAATGATTTATTAAATCTCAACTCTCCTCGAATAATCTGATATAATTTATAAACTTTAATAACCTCGGCAAATCAAAAAAATGAATAGATTTTTTTAACAATTTTAATTCAATAAGAAGATTATTTTAATTTAAATTTGTAAATTAAATCTGTTAATAAAATGTAATTTATTTGTTTTTCATAAAATAATCTGAAGGCTTAAAAAAATTATAATTTTAATTAGAGATGGAACTCAATTATACTTTATGATTTGAATAAATCATTTATGTCCTTCTTTCTCAAAGTAGTTAAGAGATTATAGTTTTTGTTTCTAAGTAATTCAAACAATTGTGACCCACTTAATCTTTAAAAATAATACAATACCCTCGTTATCTAAAAGTTCTATATTGATTATTTAAGGTAATTAATATAAAAATTTTTTTCCAATTAATGCCCTTTAGATTTTCGTATTTTCTTTTATTTTAGAATAAAAATATCTCGATGAATAGTTATATATTAATCTTTCATTGTGATTTTATGATTATATTTTTAAAATTATTTATAAAAATAATTGAGTTATTTAACATAACTAATTTAATATTTTATATTAATCTAATATCATTACGCTTTCAATGATCATTTGCTGTCAAAAGCACTAAACAGCATAGCACAAATAAGAAGCAAAACAATGAAAACATAACCATAACTAAATAAACTATAGATAATATTCTTAATGCCCCGCAAGGCTCTCCCTTATAAACCCCTAACTTTTTCTTTAAACTATAAAATACAAACAACAACACAAAGAAAATAAATCCTATGATAAACGTCAAAAAAGTAAAGAATTTGTGAACTTATATGGCATTTTTGATCTCCATTTAATCTATACAGAAACAAAAGGCCCTTTATCTATTCTCATTAATTTTTACAATGAAAAAATAGATAAAATTAATGAAGCAATTCCAAAGTCTAATCCTTTTTCTCTTAAGTATATACACTCATCATTTTCTTTTCTCTTTATTTTTATATAATACCATAAAATGATTTGCTTACAGACATTATTAAAAACATAAATCCAATGCTAAAATTTGTTAAACCAATGTCCCTTAATTAATCATGGCATTGTTTTTTTACTCTAACATTTTATTCCTCAATTTATTCTTCATCATTAATCATAACTTAATAATAAAAATGTATATTTATATTTTAAAATAAGAATATTTTAAGTATTAATAAACATTCTATTGCCATATCATAATGAAGAAATGTTGTCAGGATAAATTAATCTAGTTTTTTTTAATTCAAATGGATAGGCAATATAGAGTAAAATAAAATAAAAAATACCAAATAAAGCAGTTTTAGTTATCTTCAAATTTATTACTTACCCATTTAAACTATAAGGAGTAAAAAAATTGTGAAATTATTACACAGATTAAGCAATTAACTTAAAAAAAATGTACATCTAAAATACTTAAAGAAGAGCAAACTTTAGAGAAGGTTCAAATAATAAATTAAATGAGTTTATTTATTGATTTAAAGTATTTAGATTATTTTCAACTATTATTCTTAAATTTTATGAATTTTAAAAGTCTAAAGTAATTGTATTGAATATTATAAAGAGAAGAATTATGAAAGATAAAATATTCTAGTCCAAACACAATTAATTTTATTTTAAATATATATAATTATTATGAAGTGATAATAGATAAGATATTGATTTTTGTAAATATTTCATTATTAATAATAACAATTAAACAAATAAGGAAGTCTCAAAAATTAAATAAAAACCAACCCTCAATAATATGAAAGATAAATATAATTTGATGATCAGAAGAAAAATAAAAAAATATTCTCCAAAAAAATTTCAAAATATCGACGATTAGTTAAGCTCCCCATTAATAACGAATGAGATTCTATTGTAAAAATACCCAGGCAATAGTTCAAGTAAAATCTCAAGACCTGACTCTGTATTAGAAGAACCTGGTAGTATGTTAGAATTTTTGCTTCATTTAGAGAATTCTAACTACTGTCCATTCATCTGAAATTTTTTACTATATAAAGTTATTTATAATTATTATTTCTAAATTAAGCAAGTAATTCACTTCTAATGCTGCATGATTTTAAAAATCAATATCATTTTTACATAGAATGACATTTATTGGATTGGTTCAATATTAATAACAAAATTTATAGAGCAAATGTATTTATATATAATTAAAAAATGATTATAGAGAAATGAATTAAATTTTCTTAAATAATTGAAGGAACTTTGTATTATTCACTACTTTGAAAAGAATAAGACTAAGCTTTTTGCTATACTTTGGTTATTGAATCCTTGATTCTTGATAAATAATTATTGTTATAATACTTATTATATAAGTTTATATAAATAAAGAATATTAAGAATCATATAGAGAGAGGTAAATGAAATTCTTCAATATTTAGTAAGAATTCCAACATGCTTCCTGGAATAAATTTGGATGATTCAGGACTCGACAGTAAACTTGAACTTTGGCTTTGATGCTTAGTTAATAGTTCTTCATTAGTTATTATTGGAGAACTTAAATCTATTTATTATTGATTCTTTTTTGGGGATATTTTCCTAATCTTTTTGACTCTTAATGAGTGAATTTTTTCTTTCATTTTGCTGATTTATTTTAAAGATTTATTATTTTTTTATAATTTATTTTATTAATTAAAATTAATTTATAACTATCGTTAGATTTGAATTTAAGTTTAAATAAAATCCTTAGACTTAACACGCAGTTTTAGAAAATAGATAAAAAAGTTTAGTATATCAATTTTAAAGATATATTTTATGAATTATTAGAAATATAAAAATATTTATCGATACTATCAAACATAAATATTCATTATTTCCTTAAAAATTATTATTGCTCCTTAGATAAATGTTTGGATAAATATTGCAAATGATCAAATGAAATTGAAATAGGTTAAAGGAGATTATGACATTCAGTGATATCATTTTCAAATTCTGTTTCAATAGAATCTATATCCTGAAATTCTTCATCCTCATCTAATGCTATCGTTTTCTAAGTTTTTAATAAAATTCTTACACATTATTATTGGTTGGAAATTAAAAATTCCATCATTTTCGCCTTTAATGGAATAACCTTATCAATAAATGGATCTACATAAAATAATTAATCAAAAAATGGTAATTAGGTAAATAAATAAATAGCATTTATTTATAATGATAGTAGAGATTTTTGTTATAATATTGATGCGAATCGAAGCCATTTGCTAAATAATAATTAAGTGTTTTCAGAGTTAGATTAAAGCCATTATAGGAATTAATTCTATTGTTATAAATACATTGCACAAAGAATAGTTGTTAATCCATTTATTGTAGAGGGTATTTCAGTATGCATAATTTTTGAGTAGATTTTATTAAGTAACTAAATTGTTATTTATCTATTCGTATGTTTATTCCATATAACTAACAATAAATCATGAACATGTTCAGTTAGGGCTTCAAGTTCTGGTTCTTTTTAGTTATTTAATTGGATATCTAAAATTTAAATAACAGTATTTAAGGTTAACTAATCTAAAGTATTATATTGTAATAGACTCTTCAAAAGCATTATTCCTTATGGAGTGAATTCATTAAAAATTAATAATTATTATGCTATTTAAGGTATAAAATTAATTAATAATTATGGTTAATGTTTGGCTATGATTGTATTTACTTTTAACCAAATCAAGCCATTTGTTGTAGAAAAAGTTTATTAAACTGAAATAGGATCAATAGTGACAAGAATTTCCAATAATTCATAGAATATCTAACCCAATAATGAATCATGAGGATAGCTAGTCCAATAGTGATAAATATTTTATAAAATTGGAAATTATAAGGTTTTGCATAATTTTAACATCTATAGAATGCTGTCAAATAAAATATGTGCAGTATCTTAATCTATTGCTGGAAATTAAATGTTTGACTAATCCACCAAACATTTAAAGTTTTGATCGTTCATTGTTAAGTTCTTGCTTGCATGTGCACATAATTTTCCTATATTAAATAAGTTTACTAAGCCAAGCTAAGACTTTAATTACTGAACATGCAACTAAAATAGCTATATAAATATTTCAACTTATCCTTTAGTTAATAAATAAAGATTAGTTAAAGCTATTAACTTTTAAAGTTGAAAAATTTAATTTTGATTAATACTTTATTGTTTCAATATTTATTCAATTATTACAAAATATTAATTTGGATCAAATAAATCTGAAGAAAATTATGCTATTATCACATGTTAACCAACCATCTCCATTTTTTATTATAAATATTATAATAAAAATTATTTTGCATTTTAATGTGTTTTTTTACTTGATAATTATTATTCAAAGAACATTAAAACAGCTTCTACCACTGTTGGATCATCTTCCACTATAAAATGATCCATATTAATATTTTTTATTGGCATACTTAATATTTATAGTAAACTACTGTAAATGGTACTATTGCAAAGCTTTTAGTTATTTAACTCCATTAACATTTATAGAGTATAAAATAATAATACCTCTTAGGTTGGTTCTTATTCATAGCACTCATCTAAAAAGTTAATTTCTATAATTATAATAGCTTAATATACCTTCTAAGCTTTATATTGCGTTTGTTAATCTTACCAAAAATTGAGTCATCTAAGGTAAAATGACTTTTCTGATTTATTTAGAGTAAGTTTTCATTTCTTTAAAAATTAAATTTAATGCTTTCATAATATAAATCTAGGATTCCAATTAATCTTCCTGTTATAAAACTTAGGAGAATCTCTCCATCCATTAAATAAATGTTGAATCAAAGCATTACTTTAATAATTCAATATCACTTTGTTCACAATGAGAAAACATTTTAATTACCAAATATACTAAATGATATGTTTTAGGAGTTGGTGATTGTTATAAAATAAGATTTTACAGAATTATTTCACAATATGATATCAAAATTTATCCATCTAATTATTAATAAATATGAATTAGTGTATTTATTATATGAGGATTAATAGTATAAATTTGTAAAAATGATGGCACTAATTATTGATATTCAGAATCTCTTCTCATTACTTCTGTGATTATTATAGTCTATATATAATAAATTACAATTTACAATGATCTCTTAAACTGAAACTTAATGCTCTTGTTAAAGACCATCTACTAAAATCTTTACAATATCTTATTTTGTTTATTATTGCAAAATTTGCCAATTTAATAAGATAACATTTTTGAATAGAATTGCAATATATTTTCTTTATTGTTGACTAACATCAAATATTAATTTTAATGATTCCAGAATAAAGTTAGGTGTATTCTTTAAATATTCTGATAGAAATTAATCTCCATGTCTGAGAATCTCAGGATTGTTTATACATTATTCATAAACTTATAAAATATTAGCCATAAATTAAATAATTCAATTCATTTTCTTAATTAAACAGCATCAACCATAATAGTAAATTACTTGTTTCCATCTATTGCTTTAAACTATTTAGCTCCGGAATCATATTTGAAAAATGTTTTCACCATCTCAGAAGTTAAAACTTGAGGGCATTTTCCTTATCCAAATATTAAATAAGGTTATGAGTCAACTGCATATCCATACAAAGCTCGAAAGTCCTTAATATTTTTTATTTCTTACCGATCGACCATAAGTTTTAAATAAAATTATGAAATGCTCAGCTTCAACTCCATCTAATTTTTATAAAATTGTTTCTCTTTCTCTTTTATTTGGCTCCCCAGCTAAACATACATATGTTATTGCATTTTTTAGAATTGTTTTATTATTTTTTTTATTTTTCTCTACCGAAATAGATCTGTCTATATCTTAACAAAAATGAGCAGTTTCTTTTTATCTGGCCATTGGAGATTTTCTATTAGCTGAAGCATTACGTTTTGACTAAGGCATTGAAGTTTGAATTATTTAATGCTAATTATCTTAAAATAGATTTTTTTACTAAAATTATTGTTATTAATATAATTATTGTTATTAATATATCTATTATTATTATTATAACTATTATTATTGTTATTGTTATTATGATTGTTATTATTATTATTATTATTGTTATAATCTTTTTAAAGAAGCACTAGGCATAAGAGGGGATTGATCACGTTTATTAGGTTAATTATTTTATTACTATTATTCTTTATTTCTTTATTAACGAAGTTACTTTAATTCTTCCATTTCTTATAATTTCTTTTTTTTCAATGCTTCAAATTTTTTTTATTTTTCTTTATCATCTTATTCTTCAAATTTAATACTAAATTAATAAAATTATTTATTATGATCTTCGTCTTCAGAAAATGCTTCTTCTTCATCTTCTAGATAATTATTATTTTATTAATTTTGTTAAAAATCTTCATTTATTTATTCGCTTTCAAGAGCTGATTAAGGTTTATACTATTTTGTTATATTAGAATTTGCACAAGTATAATTTGGATAATATTGTTATTTTTCAAATTCAGATGATTGAATTCTTTTTGTTGGTTCACTAAATTTAGAAGGTTAATGAGAATTTTAGTATTATTCTGTAAATTTAGACTAGATTTAATTAGATACATTAGATTTATCTTAAAAGTCAAAATTCTTTTATTATTCTGCTAATCTAAATGATTGATCTTATTAATTATATTTAGATTAAACTTCATTAGTAATATTGCTTTTTTGAATTTAATCAAATTAATTTTTTGGTTACTAAAGTTTTGATTGTTCAAAGTGTGATTATTAAAGTTTAGATTAATCAAATTTAGAAATTTAATCAAGTTATTTATTAGGATAGAAAGACCTTGCAACTTGAGATTGATCTTAAATTTTATATGAATATTCTTGATCAAGTGTAGGCATTTAAGGGTAATCTATTTTTTGTTTTTCATACAATTTGGATTATTATTAAGATAATTCTAATAATTTGGAAGACATAGATTATTAGGATTACTCAATTAAGGGTTCATCATTTGATTTAGTTTACATTAGAGTTTGATCAAATTTAAAGGTGGTTTATTTAGAAGCATCAACTTATTTACTAATTTCAAGTATTTTATAAGTTTCGTTAGGATTTACTTTCAAATCACTTAATGATTCAGATAATTTACTTAAATCATTGAGTTTGGAATTTTCAGCATTAGCAACACTAGTATCTAATCTTTCGATTCTTAGTTTGATTAAGTTGTTATAAGCAGTTTAGTTATCTTATTAATTATTTTATAAAGACTATTATTGGATTTACATTTAGGATTCTTGTAATTCTTCTTCAATAAGCTCTTAGATTTCTTCATCCTATTCAAAATCTTAATTATACTATTCATCATTGTCATCATGATCCTATTAAAGCTAATTAGAAACATGGTCAGGTTGTTGTCTTTTGAAATAATTTCTAGGTAAATTCTTTGTTTTTTATTCATATTGGGCAATAAGGAAATCTAGTTACTTATATTATTGGTCTTTGGAATCAACAAAAGAGTGATAATTGATTTGGAAATTCGGTTACTCTTTTTAGAATTGCATAGATTATTCAAATTTCTAACTCTATTATTTAATTTTAGATTTATCCATTTAGACATCTAAACGATCAGATTAAGCCGAGTTATTAGATATTAGACTTAAAGGTGTTGCACTAAGACGAGATTATTAAATTGGTTATTATTGATTTAGAAATTCCCAAACTTATAATTTGATTTTATTTCTTTCTTATTCTTATTGTTGAGTGAGCTATGATCTTTCATCGGCAACTTTTTTAATTTATTAGTTCAAATAGTATTGTATTATTTTGTCTTATTCTTGTGATTGTGTTAAATCCATTTTATATAATTATAATTAATGAGTACCGATTCAGATGAATCTGAATTTTTGATACAATACTTCTCTAATCTAATTTTAGCTCCAGAAAACTAAAAACCTCAACCATTAAATAATGAATACTCTTCATAAATATTATATGTTTTTGTTCATACCAATTAAAGATTCGATTACAAATTATGGGGTTAAGAATATTTTGGAAAGGCAGCTATCATAAGTATGTTTCGAAGAACTTAAAAATATGTGATATTAAAATTGTTGAGTGATTAAGGTAATGGATATTCAATTATTAAAGTGTTATTTTAAAATTTTAGACATTAAGAGATGAATTGTTGTATTAAACCGACATTTCATATTAGTGCAACACTTTCAGTTTAAGCGCCATACGATTACATAAATGAATATATGGTTTAAGGAAATAAAACTATTTATTTATTGGGTAAGGAATGTAAGTTGAAGGAAGGAGATAAACTTGAATTTAAATCATATAAGGTGGATCTCTTAATAAATAATACAGGTTTTTTAATATTGATAATATCTAGAATAGATAATGAAAGTGATCTGTAGTATTTTGAATAGTAGAAAATAAGGTAAGATTTTGATTGGGATTTCATATGATAAAGATTTAAATGGTTATGTAGTGAGTGGATGTTTTTGTTAAGATAAGAAGGCTTATTAAGTAGTCAATACAATAATGAATAAATGTAAGGAATTTGGTTGTGATTAATGGGTCAATATAAAAGTATAAGATTGTGGGGTGTTACTTCAAGATTAATGTTACATAGTAAATAATCTAAAAATGTAATAAAATAATTATAATTAGATTTGAAATTATAATTAATGAGGGTGCTAAATAATTAATTACAATAACTCCAGGTAAATATTATATTCGAGAAAATAGATAATCTGTACCAATAAAAATGAAACAACTTTTTAATTATTGGAAAGATTAATTAATAACAGAAGATTAATTTGAATAATGTCTTAATTTCTATGATGAATTAATGAAGAAGAACAAGTTAATTTGATGAAAATTGATAAATTTGTGAATATATTTAATTGTTTTGTAAAAAGTAATATTTATAATTAAATAAATTAAAAACGGATTAATGATGAAATACTTAGTCCTAACAATTTGCACCATATCTGTATTGGGATTCATTAAACCTCAATATGACTCAGGTATTGATTAGAGCTTACATTGGGCATAAACTCCCTATCATGCTTTATAATAAAGTGTTGAGTAATTCATCCTTATATACATTGATTAGAGTGGGAAGAAGTTTCTAAACATTAGTCAAATTCAATAAACCTTTCAAATCAACACCTACAGTAATATTAGCACCAATTAAATATGATTTTGGAGATGGTTTACCATAAGGTTTCGATATTTAATTGACATCTGTTAATACAGTTGGATTTACTATTACATATGTTGCATTGACACCTGCTACAATCTTTGGTTTTGATGTTTCATGGGCAGCTATTTTAGATAGTAATATCTATACATATGAATTGCAAACTAATAATTTACCAACTGTTAAATCAAATAAAGAGGGTGCCACTAGAATATAAAGATTAGAAGTAACATTCCCAGAAAATTGGTCACTTAAAACTCCACCTAATATTGCTTTATTCATTTTAGGTCTCAAAATGGTTGAAGCATGGCCTAAAATTACTGCTGAAAATGTAGGTACTACTAAAACATCTACATAAATTAAAATTACTGTTGGAGTAAGAGGAACTTTAGAATTCATTAGAGTTAATATGATTATAGGTGAAAAAGATACCTTATTAGTTGGAACTATTAATCATAAAACTACAGGAGCTAAAGATCCATTAAATATTATCAATCCTGAATCAGAAAGAGTTTAAAAATATGATGACAAAATTACTGATAAAGATTTCCTTAAAACACCTAGATATTCATTATATGGAATCAATGGTTTATATTATAATTATGGTGCTTTCTGCAGATTTTTAACTAAAAATTATTTACTTGTTAAAGATTAAATCTCAGTTGAAATTGGAACATGTAATTCTATATATTATTATATTAATCTAGGGTAGAATTCATAATTAATGGAAGGTTCTATTTAATGGTTTGTTTATGTTCCTAAACCTGATGCTGGTGTTTCTGATCCTGATTGTGCTTAAGTTTGGGAATCATGTAACTATTAAGGAGATTCATTCACTGTTTGTGATAGAAAAATGTCATTCCCTAAAGATGGATGGAATAAACCAGTAATCATATTACATATTCTAGGTTAAAAGTTTCAAAGTACCAGATGGAAAAGTTCTTAAAGTTTATAATGAAGAAAACCTTAAAGGATTATCAATCAGAATCGAAAAAGATTTACCATGTATGGAAGTACCTAAATTCTCCTTCTTACAACTAGTAGGAAGTTTAGGAGATGATTAATTTTGGGAAAATGATTGAGTAGCTATATCATTAAAATTACATTCTATTCAAATATTTTTATTACATATTTAAATAATTTTTATCTCATTTATTCATAAATTCATTTCTAACCTCTTTTTTCAAGCTCTACTCGGAAATTATTTTTATTATAATTTATCTATTATTTTAGAGACTCTTTTAATATATTTAATTCTATTTTCTAAAGTGATTAATTTCATTTACGCTCATTTAAGTTAGTAACTAAAAAGAAAAAGACATTAAATAAATTTCTTTATATTATTTACATTTTTAAGTTGGTACCATTTCAATCAAATTACCAAAACCAATCTTAAAAGATAATGAAATTTTTAATTAATAATTAATATTGTTTTATTAACTATTTAAATCTTAATATATTATGAATAGAATAAATTTAATTTTATTTTCGATGAATAAATAGTTTAAAATATTTTTAAACATCTAAATTTGAAGGTTCAAAGCAATTTAATGATTGAAATAATTAAAATCTTAGAAATGAAAAGTGATTCTGTAAATATTTAATACAATCAACTTTGAAATTTCAATGATTTATACACTATAGTGAATAATTTAGCTTAACCTTTAACTTCATCAACTTATCTAGATTTAACTGTTGGTTTTCCTTCTTTACATTGTTTTACAGAGATCATACTTTCATTTTTTGTTAGATCCATACTTTTAAGATGGAAACTAGATTTAGTAGTAATTGCTCTTGATCTTTGTAATGGAGAAGTTCTTTAATTAGTTTTAATAGGACTCGACTTTTATTAAATTATCTTTTAGGTAGGACATAAATATATTTAAGGATTTCTATATAATGTAAATTATTACTCTTGCATTTAATTTTATTCAACATAAAGTTTCTATCTAACAACTTGACCTTGTTTTAATTAAAATCCATTGAGATTTGCCATACTTTTAATTTGATTAACATTTCTAGCTATTGATCTTTTCTTTAGATTTTTGTAAAACATTTTGGCTAATTGAATTCTTTCCTGATGTTCATGTAAGACATATTTGAATACTGGTTATGGTTCTTATTCTGGAACTTAGAGAGATTGCTATTATTAAAGGCCAGCCTTCTTTTTTTCTTAAATAATTGAGAGGATTTCGGGTAGGGAATTTTATCTTCTAATCATAAATATTTAATAAAAAAGTATATTTTCAATTAGACAATTCCTGTTCGAATTTGAATTAAGGATCTTAGTATAGGATTGTTTTTTTATATTCTTCTCTTTTCTTTTTTTCTTAAGTAATCTTATATTTATCATATCCAGAAATAGCATCACCTTATTTTTAAAACATTTCATCCTCTTAAACTTAATATCTTTCTAATTATTCTAAAATGTTTGCAGATTCCATAGAAATTCTCTTTTATTTTTAAGCCCATTATCTAAGTTTGTTCCATCCAACAGATTATTATCCTGGAGGTAATAATCCTTCATCTGGAAGAAGATTTAAATTTTTAATGGATTTAATTTTCTCTTCATCAGAACTATTGTCTTCCTCTATTTAATGATTATACTAATTTTATACCATAAATTCCTAGCTTTCTTGCTTTCTCTGTCTTTATAACTGTTTTATAGATTATTTCTTTTTCTACATTTGGTATTTCAATAAACAGAGATTTCAACTTTTGATACATTACAATGATCATGCCTTCAAACTTTACAAATAAAGGAAAAGTTCTTCGTGAAACATCATTTATTAAATTACTATGTTTCTTAGCATACATTGGAGTAACTGGTGATATTCTTTCTGCTAATCTTGTAATGGCTTCTATAAATTCTAACAATTCCATCTTTAAGAATTTAGATTCTCTTAACTCATCTCTTTAGGTTTACATACTCTAAAGAAATATCAAATATAGTTCTTTTTCAGATATGTATTTTTATAATTCAAATTGATCCACAAATAACTTAAAATCTGCCAATGTTACAAATTTATTTCCATGTTTCATTGTTTATTTACAAGCATTCTCATATAGTATATTAAGAATAGGCATCTTAATTCTAATTGTATAATCCATTAATTCAGTCCAATAACGTGTATCTCTCCAATCTTAAGAAATTCCAAATCTTTACATAAACTACAATACTTCATCTTATTCAAATAACATTTCTAAGGCCTCTGCCATATTATTAGCTAATCCTGTTCTAATATATTATTCTTTAGCCAACCTTACTATTATTTCAACAAATTAAAATCTAACTAAACATTTTTCCTATATGTGAATATAATTGTTCTATTTCATTACTACATAACTAGATAAGAATGCTAATTAAAGATCTAAGGAATTCATCAACGATTTCTCTAAGATACTTGTCTAAGAAATAAAATCCAAAAAACTTTATAAATTTATGCATGGTATATCATAATTTAGGGTCTTAGCACAAAAATAATGATAACAACCAATAATGTATTTGTATATCTTTTTCATTTTATTTTTTAATTAATCTATTTCCTATTAGTTTTGTAAATGTTTAATTAATTTTCCACATTCAAAGTCAAATTCAAAGCAATCTAAAAGATGCCCTTCCGTATCTGGTTGGAAATCTTTAAAAATTGAATTTTCATAAGACCAAACTCTTTTTTTAGCTTTATTTAAATCAATATCAATAATGGATTCTGATTCTCTAGGTCTACATGTAATATTAGCCATATAATGACGAGTAGAATCAATAATATTACCATTCTATTCTGAATGAATATAATTAACAATAGATAATTACACTAAAACTGATGAACCATCAGCATATTGTAGTTCTATACCTTTTTTTCTAATTTCTTCATTAATATCAAGAGTTAAGGTCTTTTGATCTTTAGCTACAAATCTTACATCATAAATTGGATTGCTAAAATAGTAATGAATTTTTTTATTTGGTGGACACATTCTTTAAAGATAATAGCTATTAGTCTATTAATTCATTAAGATTGGCCTATACTATTCAAAATCCAGATGTAAAAATATTGGATGTTAATATTCAATACCTGAGTAATGAAATCCTATTTCTACCCAACCTTCACAAATCCAACAATTTTCTTTAGTTTTGGTATTTATACAGTTTACACTATTAATTCTCTTAAAAAGCTTAGGATCTGATTTATTTTCATCATACATTACTTCCTTCACTAAAAATGATCTGGGATTTACATAATAATTATGAGGATTGCCAGAAAAATGGAACCCAAATAATTATTAATTATATATAAGGGCTTTATGTATGACCATAGCATCATCATCATTAAATCTATTAAATGATAAGTCTAAATGGGTTAATTCAGGATGAGGTTTAATTAAAACACTAAAATAATATATAAATATTACTCAGATAATGCTGATACAAATTCTTAGTTTTATCCTAATTTATTAAATGAGAGATCTAAAACCTTTAAAAATTAATTCTTTATCAAACCTTTCATAATTGTCAACCCTCCAGGATTTTTAATCAAGTTGAAGTGTAAGTATACTTCTTATAAAGAATTATTCTGTTATATGACTGATTCAATACCTTCTTGAGTAATTATCCTAATGCTTCCATTGGTATATCAGTTATCTAATTCTTAGACAGCTTTAAAACTCTAATTGATTTGCTATCATTCAAAGTTTTTAGAATTGTTAAAACTGCAAGATCTTTTAGATTGTTACCCTCTAAATTTAAATGCTGAATATTATAATTTCTAGAAGATATATAATTACAAATGCTTTAAATTCCTGATGTGCCAATTTTATTATTACTGAAATCTAATTCTATTATAGAACTAGGAAGTCTCTATGTTAAGAAACAAGTTCGATTATTATTTAGCTTATTATTTCTTAATTATAATCTCTTTAAATTATTAAAATGAGAGCTGCTTATACCTTCAGCAAATAATTATACATATTTGTCACTTCCAAATATATTATTTGCTACTAATTTATCAGGTGAATCAGCTAATAATTTTAGTGTTCTAGGCATCAATCTCTCTGTTTATATCTTTTCACTCATTCTTCCATATATATTTTTATCAACATGATAAAATTGCTACATTTCTTTATAGCGTTCTGACTTCAAATAATACCTTCTTAAACCTTACTCACTAGCATTATTAAGATTAGGTTTAATCAGTTGCAAATGATTATCAAATACTTAATGCTGATTATCTATTAATAATGATCTTCCTTTATCTTATATTTACTCTAAAGAACACAGTTCTTAATCTTGTACTAATTTATTTATTTCTTTTGTCTAAATTAACATACTAGATACTTCTTCATCATCTTCCTTATCAATCTATTAGGTTGGAAATCCAGGCAAACTCTGATTTCTTTAATTCGACCTTCCCTTTACTGGTGATTATTTTGGGTATACTGTCTATGTGATTCTTATAAGGGATTAAGTTTTATGACTTGGAATCAATTGTTTCATTATATAATTTTTCTGAACAAACAAATAATTATATTCAATAATAAACTTCTTTACTTCAAATTCATCATATTTATTTTATCAATATCTTTAAAACACCTCCAGGTTTTTATATTTAAACTTATAATAAAATATTTTTATCCTATTCTAAATTATAATTTTTTAAATGGATGAATTTTTATCAAATATAATATTTTTTCCATTCTGAATAATGTAATTTAGGCTATTTCTATTTAATGAAATTTTATTAATATCTACAATGCTTATATTAGAATAGAGCAATAGATAATAAGATTTAATATAAATTCCTCAAAATTCATTGAGCTGAAATTAAAATAATAATTTTTAAATTGCTCCTAAATTTTTCAATAATAGGATTTATTTAAGTTAGAGATAATAGTCTTTTTAATATTGATAGAATAGTTTATTTGTTTAAATATATTCTAAGAAAAATATGAAAAACCTAAAAAAAATTTTTGGATTCATGTTTGTAACTCCTTGATTTAATTAAAAATAGAATACAATAATATAAAGAAAGTTATTAATCAATATTTATTTTATATGATCTTTTAAATAAATAATTATTTGAATCTGAATTAATAATAAATATAGATATATAATTTTATACATCAAATATTAATGATTTAAAGTCAAATATCTCAAATAATAAAAAAATAATAAGGTTTAAGCATAAACGAAATTATAAATTATAAGCCACAGTAGTTTTGGAAATAGATTCAATAATCATTTAAAATTAAGTGATATTAATGATTCTATTTTTGAAAATTATTTTAAAATTTAGATGTTTAGGATTAGTAAATCTTGTGATAAACAATAAAAATATATGAATTTTCATTTTATATTTCAGTAGAGAGTAATGATATTAAAATGAGTATAAATTAAATCCTTGAATATTTTAGTTTGTCTATTTAAATATATTAAAGTTTAAAATATGCAACTCTTTGAAAAGGTCAAGTTACAAAAAACTTAATTTAATTCATTGTATACGAAATGCTACAAAAACCAAAAGATTTAGAATAGTTAACGATTTTCATCAATTAATTAATTAGAGATATAATGAAAATTGCTAGTAATTTTCTACGTAATGCAGATTTCTTTGGAACACCTCTTTTCCAATAAATAAATTAAAAATAACACCTTTATCGAAGTGCAATAGGTGGATTAATAACTTTGGTAATATTTACAGCAAGTTTGTCTTACGCAATTTGGATAATATACTTATGGTAAACAAATCAATTTAGCCCAAAAATATCAAATTCTTTATATGTTTCTGATTTTACATAGATTGATTTCAACTATGATATTTTAAAAATATATTTCTGGAAATATGATTAGAGTTTTGTAGATCCTTTTGAAGAAAAGGTACTATTACCAATAATGTAATATTCAAATTATGATGGATCAACTAAAAGTAGTGTAATAAAAATGTCAACTGAGAGAACATCAGACGGAAATAAATATTTGATTCCTAAGTTAAACTTTGGTGAATAATATTAAAATGAAAATGTATTTATTTCATCCGATGCTACTCTTTTATTTATAATATGTTAAGATGAATATTTAGAAGATGGAGAATAATGTGCTAGCGAAGAATAATTTGATTAATTTTTTTCATAGCCATTTAATGTAATAACTGTAGAAGTAACTTATAAATCAATAGATTCTAATAATGGTTAAACAAAGATTAGTACATAAGAATACTATTTTTAAGTAGAATAAGCAAACTGTTATACTTTAAATATTTTTCTATAAAGCAATTTTTATGAGATTAGAGATTATTTTCTTTTTGGATAATCTAAAACTAAAGAATATATAAATGGGGCATTTATACAAACTTAAACAAATTCTTTTAATTACTGTAAATAAGCTTATGGTAATGATTCAGTTGGAGTTGTATATATTTCTATGTAAGGCAATTAAATTAAAAGTATTTTTGAATATCCTCATGCAGGAGATTTATTAGCAAATATTGGTTCAATTGTTTCATTATTGTTTATGATTAAATATATCATTATTTTGCTGAATTAACATTTCTTATAAGAGAATCTTATTCATTCTATTATAAGGATATATTATCCTCAATTTAAAAATATCAAAATTTTGAGAAATTGGAAATTTAAGATATAAAAAGTTTTAATTGATGAAAAGAATGTGGATATTAATTAATTCCAAACTTTTTATTAGAAAGTAAATGAAAAAGCATAAATTAAATTGAGTTATTTAAATCTTTTATATGAAATATCTCGTATATATTTCTTATTAAGATCAATTCATTCTAGAGATGATATAAGGAAATCCCATTCAATAGGAATTAAAATTGGTTTTCTTCAATAATTAGAATGTTTATAAGATTCAAATTCCAAATCAGATTATACTTAAAGGATAGAGGGTAATTAATTATTATTAAATGATGAAGATGTGAATATTTTATCAGTTGAAGAGAAAACTCAAATTTAATGTAGTGAGAAGATTCCTGATGAAATAAGTAACTAAAATGATTTCTTCGATATAAATAAAATTGTTTGATAAAATCTAAGAGTTATTTTATAAGTAATATATGTAGTATATTTTTAAAATCCTTATGTTTGAGTATGAATTTTTTTAAAATATGTAAAATTAGAATTCTAGTAAAAATATTATAATAAAATGAAAATAATTAAAACGGCTCTAACATTGTTATTATTTGTATTTGAAATAGGAATTGCAGAACTCTTAGCAGATGGTGAGTAAGGTAAAATATATAACTGTGCAAATATTGAATTAATTGGATTAATTGGAGGAGATCCTTTAACAATAGATACAAGCAAAGAACGATATATAACATTTGATGGGGATGTTAGACTATCTCATAAAACACATAAATAGACTATGGATAGTTTAAAAGAAGGAAAGGATTATTTTGGAACTAATTCTATTCATTATAGCTCCGTTTAAAATGGAATTTATATTTTTGTGATTGAGAAATCCTAAGAAAACATAATATAATCATATATTAAGACAAGTTTAAAAAGAAGTTATAAAGTGGCATAGATACCATAGGTTTTCTATTTAAAAACAATTATAGAAGGATAGAAAAAATATGCAATTCATTAAATAACAATGAGTGATAAAAAAGAAATGAAAAGAGAACTATTTAAAGAAGAAAAAGAAACTATGCAATCAGTAAATATATCCTATTATACAAAAGTTCACAGGTTTATAATTTTCAAAGAAATTTGTAAATATTGTATTTGCTACATTGGAGACTGGAACTTTTTAAGATTTTACAGCTGATGAAAAATTTCTTGAAGGTGTGAAATCAATATTAGATGAAATTTAAAATGGAAGTATTAAGAAAATGATAATCCTTAGAAAAGTGTGATGAATTCTTTTGTAAGCCACCTACTTTAGAATAATTGGGATAACTTTTAGCTGATTTACCAGCTAATAAAATTTAATGTTCTAAAAAATAATGTACTTATTCTTAAGGAGGTGAAAATAAAATATTATTTAATAAAAGTAAATATTATTTATTATTTTTATAGTTCCATTCCTTTAAACAGATAAAAATTTTAGATATTTAGATAAATCAAATAATGGAATGCTTTTGACAACAATCACACCTAAAAATTAAAAATTTGTTTCTATAACGGCTTAATTAGCATTAAAATGTAATATACAAGATTATGATTTTCATTCATAAGGATATAGTGGAGCATTTTAAGCTATTAAAATAGGAAATTCTAAACTTTATAGTGCTTTAATAATTGAACCAACCTCTAATGGAATTAAAAGAAAATTTAGATCCTAAACACCTGAAAGTATTTAATATTAAATAAATTATTAGTGTATGATGAGTTAAATAATATACAGAATGTTAAAACAATATATTATTTTATGATTATTACCAATAAAGGTCCATAAGAACTTTTTGATTAAATAATTTCTGTTGTTGAAAAAGCAAAGGAAATTGATTAAAAAAAATATTAATGTACACCTATTCCAAAAGATACAGATGTTACATTTATATAATTAAATTCAAAAAACTTTGAAGAAATTTATGAAGAGGGATTTTTAAATTAAGAAGAATAATAATAATAATAAGAGACGGCGAATATTCCTAAAATTGAATTACTAGAAAATTAAAATAATGGGTTATGTTTTAAAGTGTTTGATTAATGTTATTACAATGGATCTTCTATTTAAATTTGCTAAGGAAATATTGGTGATAATGAAAAGTTATAAACTTTTAGTATTCAATCGATAAAATTATCAGAAGAAATGAGAATTACTTTTTAAACTAAAGATAAATAATAAATAATTTTGGAGAACAATTAAGAATGTTTACAAAATGCAATAATTATTGATGAAATAAAAGTTGAATAGGTATAGAATTATGAATGATAAAATAATATAAGAATATGATGTTTAATTAAATCATTTAATAAATAAATTATATTATACATAAATGGCTGATTCTGGAAGAGAAAATTGGGCTGTTGATGAATTACTTAAAGCAGAAGAAGAAGCAAATGCTATAATTAAGAATGCTTAGAAAGAAAGAGAAAAGAAAATAAAGGAAGCTAAAGTTGCAGCTGATTAAGAAATTGCCGTATTCCGCAGAGAAGAAGAAACTAGATACAATTAAGAAATATTAAGAGTAAATTAAAAATTTCGACAAATAGCGTTTTGGATCAACAAAAGAAGAAGAAGAATTAGAGAGAAGAACAAAAGCTGAAATAGATAAGATTTATGCTGATTATGAAGCCAATAAGTTAGCTGTTGTTGATATGTTGATTAAAAGAGTTATTGAAGTTAAATTAGAAGTACCTAGAGTGGTTAAAGGATAATTTGAATAACCTTAACAAATGATGTGAGATATCATGAAGATGATGAATTCATAATATAATAAAAATAAATATGAATATTCCTTTTAATTTCATTTCTTAAACATTTATAAATTCTTAATACTATTATTATTTTTCAACTGCTAGAATAATAAATCTAGTTATCTTATAAATTTACTTATTCAAATTAATGATTGAGGAATATATTTCAAATTTTTATTAATTATAGTTCCTATTTCCATAAACATTGAATTATAGCTTTCTTTTAAGAAACATACACTTTATTTAATTGAATTTGTTACAAAAGAAATGGATATATATTAGAACTCAAAATTTATTTGATAAAAGGTAAAATTGAAATATTTTGTTTATAATTTATGGCATAGTCATTTACCATCTTATAAAATTCCTTTAAACATTTTGGACAGGGTCATTACAAGGAATCAATGGAGTAATATACTATTTAAGTATAGGGAATTATAGAAATTTAAACAATTAAAAGAATAATCTGATCAAAATCAATCAATGGTATAAATTAATGAAAATATCATCCTTTGTGAATATAATATAAATAAAGATGCAAATGCTTGTATTACAAAACTTGATGAAATTATTGATGAAATTAAAAAGCCATCAGCTTAAAAAAGTAAATATTTTAGTTTATTTTATTTTATTAGAAAAAAAATAAGAAGATGATAGTATTTTGTAATTTAATAAAGCAATAATGCTTTTTTTAAGTGGTAAAGTTAGATAGACTCATAACCTATTGAAATAATTGAAAGATAACTACAATCTAGATATATACTTAAATATTAAGGTACATTTGCTATTAGTAGAAACCTCATTTTAATTATAAGAATATGTTTACGCAAGTGAATTGTATAAAAAACTATCATAAGAAGACACATTAAAATCTTTATAATAAAAGGTTAACAAATCAAATCAAATGGATGATTAATAATAATAATAACAATCAACTTATACATCATTATTAATGGGTTCTGATCTACCTTATCCTGATTCACATCCTAATACATTTAGTAAAGAAGAATTCTTATTCATATTGAATTTAATAAAATTTCGATTTTATATGCTTTCAAATTCTAAGGATTGGAAAAAATAATTGTCTAATTTAGAATAATCTTTAAAAAATTACATATTTTAATTGGATTAATAATTAGGTATTTAATAATTTTAAGTACCATAATTTTCAAATGAAATTTAACCATACTTAAAATTGCATTCATAAATGATTTTTAAATTAATGAAAGCTTAAAAATAACTTACACTAAATGATAATATTGTTAAATGTATCAAAATGATAAATCCATATTCAGAAATATAAAATTAATAAAACTTAGATTTTATTTAAAGTAAATAATATCTATATTTGGCTTAAATTTATAATAATTTAGGTTGCGTTCATGCTAAAATTGGTAAATATGCTTTAGCTGCTGTATATTTCCAAAAAGCAATCAATTAAATTAAATCAGTGTTATAATAAGTCAATCTTTATGAGAATATAATTTTGACAAATATTAAATAACGATAATTTTCAATCTATCAAAATTTAGCTGATGCTTTATTTATGGATTTAAAATATTAAAAAGCACTAATTATATATAATTAATTATTAGAACCTTGTAATTAAAGTGCTAAATTTTGGTATAATAGAGGTGTATGTTATATATAATTATATCATGAATCTATACCTGACAAGAATGAGATTTATGAAATATAATAAGAGCATTCCTAAATAAATATTTAAGAGGAAGGAAAGAAAATAATTCTTTAAAGCAGAGAAATTTATAGTGATATTGATGAAGAAAATTAGGATTAATTCTATAAAATTGAATAAAAAAGTGAGGAAAATAAATTTGTGTAACCAAAAGCTTAGAAAGAATTGTTAAATAATGCTATAAAGTATTTTTAAATAAAATCTATTAAAGATCTTTCCGCAATGCTATTATTTTATCTAAAAAGGAGAAAAGGGAAGAAATAATACTCTTAGATTAAGATTAATTACAAATTGCAGGTTCATAATTATTTGAATCTTCTATTGTATTTTTAACTTATGCATTACTTTGCAGAGGAGATTGTAACTTAGCCTTACAGTAGGGTAAAGAAGCATTAGAGTATAATTTATCTGATAATAATAAATATACAATAATACAATACATTTTGGAAGCATAGATATCAACTTCTAAAATTAAAGAAGCTAGCAACTTTTTGAATACAAATGGAGTAGCTAATTTCTTAAGTAGATTTATAAATAGCAATTTATAATTCTAATGTAGAAATGTCATAGGTATTTAAACAACATGCTTTTCAAATTATAGTCCTAAAGCAATTAATTATTTTAATTATGCTGCATTAAATTTGCATAATAATAATTTGACATTAGCATGGAATTCAATTTAATCATTGTTGAGTTGCTGTGAAATTAACATTAACTAATATAATCAAATTGTTCCAGTACCAATATTAAATTTATTAATATGGTATTATTTGAAATCAGGTGATATATTAAATATATTTATTTGTAGATTAGGTGTAATTAGCAGTACATTTGATTAAGAGGAGAAGACTATTAACAGGATAAATGGGAAAAAATAAAATATCTCTGTTAAATATTACAAAATGATATAGATAGAAATAATAGTTATTTTATGTATTCTTATCTCTTTCAATAAAGAACTTTTCAGCATTTCATTAATGATTAATGAATCATTATGATATTCTAAATACAAATAAAAAATAATGTTTGCTTTTTTTTATATCTCGTTGCAAATAAGTATTAATAATTATAATTAAATCTCATTAATAAAGAAATTCTATAATATAATTTTATAAAGTTCTTTATAAAAGAATCATGTGAATATAATCTGATTCTTTCATAAGTAAAACACAACACATAGGCATATCTTCAAGATCTAGACAGTAATTTAAAATTTCTTTAAAATAAATAATTGTTTTTAACTTATATAATTGTATTATGCTTCTAAGGCAAATATAGGAAATAAATAATTTTACTTCTTTTGCTTTATGATATATATAATAATCCTTACTAAAATTCAGATGGAAATCCATCGATCAATAATATAGAATAATGTTATTACAGTTAAATAATAGTAAAAATCTTCATAATAAATGAACTGAATACCTTATAGGCATTGTGTTTTTATAAGTAATATTGATGAAGAGTGTTTAAATGGTAAAAATTTTGGTATTAGATTTTTATATTGTTTTGAATCAGGGTTTGATCTGTAGATAAAGAAAAATTTGAAGAGAAAGTATTTAAAAGAGAAGTGATCTGTATATTATGTAAGTACTGAGTTGAAAGGATTAGTAAAAAAAAAAGAAGGGTAAAACGAAATCAAAAATTCTAAATATAGAAAACAATAATTTAAAACGTATTTGAGAGAAGAAATCTTGTATGACTAAGTTTAAATGAAAAGTTGTGATGTCATAAACATGAAGAATAGAAGGATATTAATATAATGAGATGAGAGGATATCTTAATATTCAGGTTTAATTAAATTGATAAATATTAATAATTTATGAGCAAACTTGATAATCTAAAAGTAAAAAGTCTTTATATGAAATCAGAACCTCTAAATTTAGTAGCTAAAGGAAGTTAATCCTGAACACATGGATTAGGCAGCAGCAGTAAAGTTTACATCAAACCGTTTGAATGCCCTTGAGAAATTTGTTAGAGATTCCTTACATTAAGATAAAGAATACTTTGCAGGAGAGGTAATACATATATTAAGAGAATTTAGAGAAGCACACTTCAAAACATTATAGATACTCTAACTACAGAAAGCAATCGACTATAATAACATTTACAAGTGAATAGGGAATAAAAATAATCAGTAATAATCATAAATATATCTGTTAGATTGAAGCAGAGCTAAAAATATCTCATGATGAGATAACTAAATTATAGGCAATAGTACCTTAACATGATGAAAAAGAACTTCAAAATAAGATTTAAGTTGCTAAAAAAGAAATCATGAGCATAAATAAAATGAGATAGGATGATGCTAATAGTTTGAATATTAATGATTTAAGTAAGTGAAATCTATATTTGATAGAGTAATTAAATATTAAGAATAAAGATAAAGAAAGTCCTGTTAATGAATTATGGATTTGGACTTTGGTTGTTATTTATAAAGAACCAGCCTCAAGTTATTATTGGAACAATTTCAAAGTAAATTTATATTTAATCTATTTTAAGGAATAAGTATTTGAAAAACCTGAAGGATCTTAAGACTTTAAAGAAAGATTAGGAAGAGTGAAAGCGGTTGATATGAAAAAAGATGAATTTGAAAGAACATAAAATTTATTGAAATAAAAAGAACAAATAATAGCTTCTAATATTCTAACTCCACCAATATTAGCTTAGATCAATATCATATTTAAAATTGTGGATTTAATGATTTAAGTAGAAAAGAAATCCAAAGAGATTCATGAAAATGAAAAGTTGTTATAAAAAGTATATTTTTAATTTATTCTAGCTTGCTCTTGATAAGTAATAAATTTAATCAGATACTAACAAGAATTAAGATAAAGCTAAAATTTTATAGGATAGAATAAACTTTTTAGATACAATTCATAAGGGCTATTAATTTATGCATGATGCTATGATCAAGAAAATACATAGCTATCAATAAGCATAGATTTTAAATGATAAATTTACAGAACAAATAGAATCGAGCTTTAGTAATTTAGATTTCTCTAAAAGTTATAATCAAGTTTTATTTCTTAATCTATTTTTAGTAATATGTCCCTTAAATTGTTTAAACCATATAACATGAAAATATTGATGTTTAAGAGAATTAATAATAAGAAATTAAATAGGTAGTTGTTGAAGAAGAACAATAGTAAATTTAAGAATAACAAAAGGTTATTGAAGTTAAATAAACATTGCCAGAATAATAGATAGATTTGTAAAATTAGCTTTATATTAAAATTTTAGGTAATAGTAACCACCAACAGAAATTGTACAAACAAAGACAGGAGGTTGTGAAGCTTGCAATGTCTTTTGAGAGAAGTGATATTCAATAATAAAATCATAATAAAATTATATAAATATCTTGATAAAATTTAAATGAAATCTATATACTTAATCAATTAGCACAGATCTTCGAAACCATGGTTCAAAACAATTAACAAGATAAAGAAGAATTTGATTATTTTGATATTTGTATAATGAATGGAAAACATGATACAAAAAAGTCAAACAATTATATAAATAATAATTATAACAAACAGCTTAGAGATAAAATCAGAATTTCAGCTGAAGCTCAAATCACTAATTCTTAGACTAGAGAAACTATTTTAAAATAGGCTTAATTGTATTTGAAATTTATTGAGAAAAATTAAACTATCATTTAATAATAAGATTAATAAATAATTGTTACAGAGTTAAGTATTTAGAGTAGAATCAGCAGAGATGATTAAAGATAAGATCCTTTGCAGAAATGATAAAATTCTTAAGCTATTAATTATATTGATTCTCTCATTTCTAAAGTAGAGGAAAATCAACAACTATCAGAAAAAGTCCAGGAGTATTTTATCTGATCTAAGCAAGCAGCTAAAAAAGAATATTTCAATAGATTTGGAAGTAAATAAATGTATTAGATTATTTCTAATAATTACAATTAATAAGGAATCAATACAAAACTTTATTCAGCTGGAATTTAATTGTAAGATGAACAATCTCAATTTTAAAATTGAAATAAATGATGTCTAATATTCAAAGAAATTCAAACCGTGATAATTATTAACTATATTTTATATATATGTAAATTCCTTCTTCAGAGTAAATATAAAGTCAATAACACATAGGAGTGCTTCAAGTTAAGATCACAATATCTCAAAATGGAGAAGTTATGGTCTACTTGAAACTGATGGAGGATCATCATCTTCATTTTCATTCCAACAAAAAAAGAAAAAGCCTATCTAAAAATCAAATACTATGCATAATCTTAATCAAAAAGTCAAAACATAACCTTAAGAAAATAATGATCTAAAAAATAGTTAAAGCGAATCTAAACATAGATTCAATCAAAGAACTTAATAAAGCATTCCAAGCAGAAGTTCTATTAATAAATAACCTCTTGATGATGATATATAATTTGACATGTTTTCTGTTAACCCAGGGTCTCATATTTTAAATTTGACCTAACAAACTATACCTATTGTTTTATAATTAAGAACAAAAACTCTAGAAGAATTGGATTAGATTGGTGTAGATCTAGTAATATATTCATCAATATAAGTTTTGTTTAATTGACATTAGCAATAGTATGTAAGGATAAAAAATTGAATATGTAAAATAAATTTTGCATACAATCCTTAGTAATTTGAGAGAATAGGATAGATTATGTTTGATTAGTTTCAACAACGAAGGTAAACTTTTAACAGGTTTATAAAAAGTAACATCGGAAACTCAAGAATATTTTGCATTTGTTATTAATGATTTATAATGTATAGGAACAACTTAGTTATGGAAAGGAACTGAAGTTGCTTTTGATGTTATAAATTAAAGAAAAAACAAAAACAATTGGGCAAGAATTTTGATTTTCTCAGATGGTTAAGATGAGATAGCACTCATAAAGATTAGAAAATAATTAGAATATAATTATGATGTTTTTACTATTGATTCATTTGGATTCAGTGATTCAAATGCTAATAAAAGATTAGAATCAATAACGAATCTAAGATTTGGAAAACACTTTATAATAACTGATGAATAATAAATATTTAAATGTTTGGAAGAAGCATTTGCCAATTTTCCATTCAATTTATGGGATGATGTAACAATAACAATCTCTACCAATTTATAAAATATTCCTTTTGAAGATATTTTAATTAAAGAGATACATACTGAAGGATGGATTGAATTACAACATTAACATTAATTTCAAATTACAATACCTAATTTAGAAATAGGAGAATCCTTTTTGTTTCCAATCGAATTGTTCTTTAAGAAATTTAATGACAATATAACAGATAAAGCTAAACCAATCACTTTTATTAAAGGGAAAATTGAAATGAAAAATAGCATAACAGGAAAAAGAATGATAAAGAATGTTGAACTAGATGCTATTTTCATTTATGAAAATGACTCAAATACTCTTGATTTCAATACATACTTTAATTGTAAATAATCTCCCTTAGTAATTTGGGTTTGCGATTAATAATAAATATGTAATAATAAAAATAAATAATAGAATTCCATCGAAAGTCATATTTTGAACTAATTTGTGAAAATTTGTAGCTTAAATGGCAGTTATAATAATAAAGAATTAAATAACTTTATGATGAAGAACCTTCTTGATTTTAAATATAACAAATGAGCATCTTTGTCTTATATTTATTAATTAAGATAAACCATTTTTTTGACTAATACATTCAAGAAAAATTTTTATTGAATATTATAATGTCTTAAAATATCAAAAATAATTCAAGCTTTGATATTTTGTCCATAGAGCAAATATAGTTTACATTGATTTTTCAATCCACATTCTTCAACTGTCCAACTATTTTCAAGTTTCTTTCTCTAAAAATATAGTTATGATTTTTCAGGGTCAATTGTTTTTACATCTATTTTTTATTTCACTTCTCTAATCTTATCTTAAAGATCTACATTCAAGTAAAATCTTTCATTTTCATGATCCTCTATAATAATTTCTAAAGTCTTTGCTTTTTTTCCATTTCCACAACACATATTCATTTTTATAATTTAAATATATTATTATTAGATATCAAATTAAACGAACTGTCAAATGAGTTCCAATATGAAGAATATCAAAATTATTCTAAACACACCAACATTTCACCCATCCAACAAATTCATCAAAATCTTGTTTTTTTAATGCACTTGCTTTTTGACTAGACTCTCCAAAATTGTAAAATGTAATTCTTTCTACATCTTTCAAAATAGATTCATGTATTTCAACACAATCTTGCTTGAATTTACATAATTATAAATAATCTATATTATCTTAATGATTAAACTCGACTTCGCCATATTCAAATTTAACCTAGTCTATCCCCTGAACTTGATCTGAAGCGATATCAATTATTTTAAATTCTGTTCCTTCTAAAATTATTAATTCTTTCAATAATTATGCGTTTTAAAGTTAAGTTTTCATACCTAATTTTTCATTACATTGATATATCTTAATACTTTGAGTAAAATAATTTAATATTTTCTTTAAAAAATCTTATATTGTTTATTCTTTCAGTTTTTTGAATCCTAATGAATAAAAATCGCTCTAGAATGATTAATTATTTTTTGGAATAGATATTGTAAATTAGTTCCCTTTCTTTTAAGAAGAATAAATCTATTAAAAACTTTCCCTTTTTATTCTTTCCTTATATTAATGAGATTCTTCCTTCTAAAAAGTAAAAAATAATCCTTTTTAAAAACTCTTTTTCTTCTTACTAGTCTGTATTTTATAATTATTAGGTTCCATTTAAAATCTGCTGATTATATCATCAAATTTTGGTGTGGAACAATAACTATAGTTCTCCTTATTTTCTATGACTTCTTAACTTTTCTCTTCATAATTTACTTGATTATAGCTTACATTATAATAGTTTGCTTAACAAAATTGAAAATTTTATTAACCCAATATTTAATGGGAGTTTTGCTAATTGTCTATAAATATAAGTTATTAAGGATTTTCTACTTGTGAATGATATTATTCTTACCTACAATCTTATTTATTTTCTGGAAGCTATTTTTATAGTTGTTATTATTCTAATTGCTTTATTGCATTCTCCCTTCTAAAGTTTAACTAAAGTTCTTTTAATGAAACTGAAATTAGTTATTTTGTATTATTATAACAAACAATGAATCCTTCAAACTTAGTTATTGAGGGCATTATTGGATAAATTATTGCATTCATAGTTTTAAATAAAATTAATGTTAGGTTTATTATATATAAATATCTATTAATTTTAATTGTTATTCAGTTAAAAATATTTCATTTAAATAATTTACTTAGTTATTTATCAAATATAAATAAATTTTTTAAGATAATAATGAAATAGGAGACAATTTTTTTAATTTATTAGAATATTTGTAAAAAAAAAAGAAATTGATTTGAAAGACTCTCATTTTATTGATCCTAAATACTAAACAATCTTGAATTTGTCTCTTATTATATGATACAATTAAGTAATATAATGTCGATTAGAAGTTTAAAATATTACTAACATCATAAAGATAATAAAATATTTTTCATTTATAAATAAAATGAATATTTAAAACTACATTTTTTTATATTTTTACATATGAATATTTTTTTGTAATTATATGGGTATGACTGATTAAAATAATAAGGGACGAAGCAAAAATGATCAATTTTATGTATAACAGATTAAAAAATATATTAAAAATATATCAATATGATATAGAGAAGATAATAAATTATTTTCTTGTTAATTTATAGAATTTTTCAAATCAATAAGATTATAAAATTAATTTTTTATAAAAATAAATCAACTATTATTTTTAATGATCTGGTTTTTAGATTTTAATTACTAAATTAAAATTCAGATTTTAAGAAATTATATAAGGATAATGAAAGATTTATGATACTGTTAATTAACGAAATGAATAGTATATTTATAATTTTTTATTTAATTTAATAATTTAGATGAGCAACAGTAATAAAAAAGTTCCAGATATATCAGGTACTAATGACAACATATGATTCATCAATAATACCTTTATATTAATCAATTTAAAAATTCTTATTTTAGATTTCAAACCTCCAAAACATACTTCGATTGAGAACCAATTAGAAATCCATAGGTAATAATGTCAAAATAATTAGAACTTTGAAAGGAAACATGCAGCGTCGTTATAAAAATGATGACTTTGAACCAAAATTAAACTAAAAAGTATCTCTTCCTAGTTTGCCTAATTTAAAAAAAGCAGATTTATAAAGTGATCAAAGTATAGAATTTAATTAATTTAGAATTGCTGAATCTATCAAACGGAACTAAGCCTCACAATAGATTACCAAAATTAGAAGCAAAAAGTGAAGTGCCAAAACAAATGAAGTAAATATTGAAAGAAATTAAAAAACAGATTAGAAGATGCAATAATTCATTACAATAGTGTGACTCCTGAAAGAAGATAATAAAGTCCAGAGAGATAATTATCATTAAATAAAAAAAGATTGATGGCAAGAACATGGAATGGGGGATAATATGCATTTAAAACAAAAGCTGGATGTTTAGCAAATAAGACATCAAAAACTAATTAAGATTCTGCTATCGTTTTACCAAATTGTTTAGAGAGGTAAATTTCTTCAAAATAAGTAAGTTTAGGTTATAATATGTTTGGAGTATGTGATGGTCATGGTTCTAATGGTCATTTAGTTTCTCAATTTATTAAGCAAGCATTACCAAAACATCTCGAATCCTTAATAAATAAAGAGGATAATAAAAATAAGATTATTTAAAAAGCATTTGAATAAACAAATAAAGAGATATGGGATTCAGAAACAGATACATCTTTGTCAGGATCTACAACTGTTTCTGTTCTAATTAAAAAAGATTAACTTTGGACAGCTAATGTAGGTGATTCTCGAGCAATTATTTGTAGAAATTAAGAGGGGAATTGGAAAGCAATATAAATAACAAGAGATCATAAACCGAATGTTGAAGATGAAAAATAAAGAATTCTTTAAGCAGGTGGACGAGTTGAGAGTTAGAAAGGTAATATTATATATATTAATTAATTAAAGATTATTATGGGAATTCTATTGGTCCTGAAAGAGTTTGGTTATCTTATATAGATGCTCCAGGATTAGCAATGACAAGAAGTTTAGGTGATAAAGTAGGTGCATAGGCTGGAGTTACAGCAGATCCAGAAATATTTGAATTCACTTTAACATAATTTGATTAATGCATAGTTATTGCATCTGATGGAGTATGGGAATATCTTTCAAACGAAGATGTAATGAATGTAGTGACTCCTTATATTGAAAAAGAAAATATTGATTTAGCTGCAGATAGACTTATGGCTGAATCTATTAATGCTTGGAAAAGGCATAGTTTAGCTAGAGATGACATTACTTGCATAGTTGTTTACTTAAAGAGTTGAATAATTATTATTTCAATAATCCCAAAAGATAGTGTTTTTTATCATCTCTGAATATTTTGCCATCTTCTTCTCACAAAATCTAAACATTTCATATTCTAATGCTTATTTACAACTTAATCTCTATCCTGCATCTACATCCAACAATCTATTCATTAATTTTATCAATTGAGTATCTCCAATAACTTTTGAACCTACTTTAGGAATCTTTCCAAATAACAATTCATGTATTAATACTCCAATACTATAACAATCCACTTTGTTATCATATCTTTTATTCATTGTTATTTCTGGTGCCATATAACCAGGAGTTCCACAAAATTATTAAGAACTTCCAGCTTTTATACATATCCCTAAATCAGCTAATTTAACAACTTCTCCTTATAATAATATATTTTCTGGTTTTATATCTCTATGTATTATTCCAAATTAATGCAAATAACTTACTCCTCTTAAAATCTGATAAATAATATCTATAATTTATTTTTCATTTAATTTTTTCTCCTTCCTATAATTAAATAAGGTTATGTCTCCCAATTCTAAAACCAAAGCAATCTAAGATTTACAAAATAAATACTTGTTTATCATCATTTATTACTCCATAACATTTTAAAATATTTGGATGATTGACATAACTTTATATACAAATCTCTGTTTTAATAAGTCCTTGAATACCTTTGCTTGTGATTACAGATTTTTATATTATTTTCAAAGCTGCCATCATACCTGTAATTGTGTCTCTATTTTTAGAAATACATTAAAATTTACGTTACTGAATAACAATCACTGATATTTCCTCTACCTAAATATTTTATCTTTTTAAATCTATACAAAGGAGATTTTTCATTTTTTGACATTTACATTGCTCCTTTTTATTGATTAAAATTTGGACTATAAATTGGTGTGTTACATCCAAATGAAGATTATCCTTTATCATTTGAACATGAAACATTTCTGATAGGTTTTTATGGATCGATTTACAGTTTTTATTCCTTTATAGATTATTATCTAACATGATTAATTTAAATTAAAGTGTTTTATTTTTTATTAGTTGATATTAATTGTTTGATTTCCTCAATTTTTTTCCGATTTTTTTATAAATTTTATTCATATTAGAAACAAATCTTCGGTTAGATCTTTCTATTCTCAAATAAGTCTTTAATAACAATTGTAATTTAAACCATATTCAAAAAATTTTAATCGTTATGCTAATCTTATTTTAATAACGATAACTTAATTGATTTTAAACTCTTGATTTACAAATCATTGCATCTTTAAAATTTTTCTTATTTTAATTAAAAGTTTTAGTCAAATAATTTATCAATATTATTTTATTATGGTACTTTATCCTCCGAAATTGTTTTAAAAGTCTTTATTGAGCTGGCTGGTAGAGTTAACACAGGTAATTAATCATTTTTAAATTAGTCTAACGGATTCAAAAATAAATTTAAGATGTTTGGTTTTCTTTAACCTATATCTCTGGCTAATTATTNAACCAGGAGTTCCACAAAATTATTAAGAACTTCCAGCTTTTATACATATCCCTAAATCAGCTAATTTAACAACTTCTCCTTATAATAATATATTTTCTGGTTTTATATCTCTATGTATTATTCCAAATTAATGCAAATAACTTACTCCTCTTAAAATCTGATAAATAATATCTATAATTTATTTTTCATTTAATTTTTTCTCCTTCCTATAATTAAATAAGGTTATGTCTCCCAATTCTAAAACCAAAGCAATCTAAGATTTACAAAATAAATACTTGTTTATCATCATTTATTACTCCATAACATTTTAAAATATTTGGATGATTGACATAACTTTATATACAAATCTCTGTTTTAATAAGTCCTTGAATACCTTTGCTTGTGATTACAGATTTTTATATTATTTTCAAAGCTGCCATCATACCTGTAATTGTGTCTCTATTTTTAGAAATACATTAAAATTTACGTTACTGAATAACAATCACTGATATTTCCTCTACCTAAATATTTTATCTTTTTAAATCTATACAAAGGAGATTTTTCATTTTTTGACATTTACATTGCTCCTTTTTATTGATTAAAATTTGGACTATAAATTGGTGTGTTACATCCAAATGAAGATTATCCTTTATCATTTGAACATGAAACATTTCTGATAGGTTTTTATGGATCGATTTACAGTTTTTATTCCTTTATAGATTATTATCTAACATGATTAATTTAAATTAAAGTGTTTTATTTTTTATTAGTTGATATTAATTGTTTGATTTCCTCAATTTTTTTCCGATTTTTTTATAAATTTTATTCATATTAGAAACAAATCTTCGGTTAGATCTTTCTATTCTCAAATAAGTCTTTAATAACAATTGTAATTTAAACCATATTCAAAAAATTTTAATCGTTATGCTAATCTTATTTTAATAACGATAACTTAATTGATTTTAAACTCTTGATTTACAAATCATTGCATCTTTAAAATTTTTCTTATTTTAATTAAAAGTTTTAGTCAAATAATTTATCAATATTATTTTATTATGGTACTTTATCCTCCGAAATTGTTTTAAAAGTCTTTATTGAGCTGGCTGGTAGAGTTAACACAGGTAATTAATCATTTTTAAATTAGTCTAACGGATTCAAAAATAAATTTAAGATGTTTGGTTTTCTTTAACCTATATCTCTGGCTAATTATTAAGGTTTAAGCATAATTAAAGATTCTGCAATTAGACTATCGTTTTATTTTTATTGCTCTTTCTTGATTGTTGATACTAAAATACCTAATCTTGAGTGTCTATCTACAGTAGTTTATCTTTATAAATTTTTAAACGGATGATTATAATTAGTGGAGTCAATATAAAACTTAGCCAACCTTTCAGATGCAGAGCTTAAAATATTTTCTTCCTATTTAAAATTCATACAATCAGCTGAATCTTGACTGATTGATTATAATTAAGAAACATTAAAATTGGTTTTTTCAGAAATGGATATTGATTCAATCTTATCATTTAGCCTAGAGAAATCCTTAAATATTAATTGTGAATTTGGATTGCTTTTGTCTTTTTCTATGTTCTGAGATTTATGTTGAAGTTTTATTTCAAGTATTTCTTTTAAAGAACATGATTAATTTTCGTTGATCTTTTTTACAGGCTTACTTATGGAACTAGATAAGGATGAATTAAAAAGTGTTTGCTCTAAATTAACTAAGTTAAAAGTTATTTGCTGGTTAGTTAATTATCGATTAGCTTGATGTGGATCATCAATTTTAATAGGACTTGATTTATTGATAGTTTACAAATTAAGTTTTATGAATAATTGATTTGCTTTTTTTTAAGGAGAACTCAAGACTAAACAATCTGAAAAATTTAATCTCTTTGATATTTTTAAATTAGATGGAATAGAAGATGAATCAGATGAAAGTGGTTTTATTGATTGAGTTGGAGTGGAAATAAATTCTGAATTTAATCTTTGTTTAGGTTTAATTTAATCAAAAAAGTAGGTTGGGTTTTGTTTATTAAGAGGTTTTAAACTTATCATAAGAAAATTACAATGTCGTTTATCATCTAAATCCCAAATACGAATTTCAATATTTTTTGTTTAAAAATTGGAATATGAGCTAGTTGTTAATTTCTAATCAGTGTTTTAGTAAGTACTTAAAGCACGTTTGAGATTTTCTTATAGAATATTTAATTTTTCTCTTAATGTTTCCGGTAAGACATCTGTCATAATTATTAAAATTATAATATCAATTAAGGTCTAACCATTTTGATATGTCTGCTATATGAGTATGTATGTTTATTATGGGATCTGATTAAACTGTTCACATGTAATTATTCAAGTGATTCATTATGCAAATATTCAACCGTTAATAATTTAGGATTAGTTGTTCTATAGTAATGTTTAACTTCTGGAACATAATCATATTCTGGCTTTCGGATTCGACGTAAAGAGCCTTACGTAAATCTCTTGTTTAATTCAAAGAATGAATTGGGAGTTGAATTCATAATTATAATGTAATAAATTGAAAGGTGTCAATTTTATAATGTGAAAAAGAATCGACCTTGTAATATGGAAGTTTATAAATCAGGTTATTAATATTGTGTATTTCATGGACAATAATAAATAGATTGGATTGACTGTCCATTAGATCCTTCTCATAAAGTCAAAAAGATTAAGATGGAGAAACATTTAAAAATTTGCAATAAGAAAAAATTAGAAGAGGAATTAAAATAGAACCCTTTTTTTAAAGAGAAAATCAATTTAAAAGAGGATGAACAATAGATAAAAGTGAAATTACAAGCAATATCTAAAGATTAGCTAAATGAATTAATTGAATTGATACCTTAAGCATTTAAAAGAGCAATAGCAATTTATCAAGAATATTTAGTAAAAATAGGTGAATAGTCTGATAATTGCTACTCTTATATTATAGATGAAAATATTGAGGAAGCTCCAAAAAAAGTCTCAGATAAAGAAAAAGATCTTTAGTAAGTAGAATTATTAACAGAAATCATGGATCAATATAATTTAATAAATAAAGAAATGGCATATATTGAGTATGGAGCAGGAAAAGGAAGATTTTCACATTAAATAGCAGAAAAATTAAAAGAAAAAGATAATTCTATGGCTATTCATGTTTTAATTGAAAGAGAACCAAGAAAATTAAAATATGATAGATTTCATAGAGATAACAAGTATTTTATAAGATGTAAAATGGATATAAGAGATTTTAATTTAAAAATTTTAGAGCAATAATTAAAAGATCAAGGATATGATAAAGAAGTAAAATATGTTGGAGTTTGTAAACATATGTGTGGAGGAGCATCTGATTTAACTTTAAATTCATTATTAACATAGGAAAGATTTCCTGTAGGAATGACAATAGCCACTTGTTGTCATCATTTATGTGATAAGTAGACATATAAAGTATAAATTTGAATATATAAATTTTAGAATTTAGCTTTTTTGAAATCAATTAATGTACCAGAATAATTAATTGATTTATTATTTTAGACTAGTAGTTGGTATGTTAGTGGACCAATTAATTTACAAAAAAAAATTAAAACAAATGATGAAGTCAGTTCTGATCAGAGAAAGAGTTTAGGTAAAATGGCAAAAAGAATTATTGATATTGGAAGAGTGCTTTATATTAATTAAATAACTTAATTAAAAGCAGTATTAAAAAAGTATTGTGAATAATGGTTATCACCTGAAAATTTTATCATTTTATTATATAAATGAATTTATAAATAATCATTTTCATTTTGGTCTGGCTGATTATGGATTATAAAATGTATTAGCAAAAGTTGAATTAGGAGCCATAGATTAAGGTGGCATTGATTAAGGAGCGGCTGATTAAGGTGGTATGGAATGAGTTGGTAATGTATTTTATGATTTATAATTTTAAATAACAGAGGGGGCTTTAGATATTTCATTGAGTTTTATTACTCCTTAATGAGGATTTTAATTTGAGTTTGTATTTCCAAAATATGGTGTAACTCTAGATATCAAACTAAAATCTGAGCTCTGTTAGATTTATTAAATTGATTAATTTCTGAAATTTATAGTAGAAGAAGGAACATAAGTTTAACTTATTGTTGGAGTTGGAATAACTGCTTATTATTAACAGGTTTAAATTATTCTAGGTGTTGTATTTGGAGAAATAATTATTGGAACCTAATTTTATGATGTTTAGGTATTTTATTAAACAGATTCTATTACAGAATTATTTACTTTTTTTGTAATTTAAGGACATAACTTAAGATTGGAATAAAAAGGTTAATTTTATTCTTCTAAGATCTTAAATGGATCAATGAAACTCTAATTTATAAATATTGTGATTACCTTGATATCAATCCAAGATTATCTTTCTGAGGGATTCTCAAGTAGCATTTTCTAAAGTAAACCAAAAAGTAATTCAGAATACTGAGCTTTAGTTTATTAAAGAGCTTAATAAATTTGATTCTTGTTAAGTTCTTGATCAGAAGTATAAAATTTAGTAAAACTACTTAAAGTAGTTAAACAAAGCAAAACTATTCCAAATGCAAAAACATCACTTTTGAAACCATTAACTGAAGGTATTGGTATATTTCTTTAGAGTTATTCAATTTGTTCAGGTGACAATATAGCAATTTAGTTTTTGAGTGCTTATTCGTAAGATGATTCAATATTAAATATATTATTAACTTCCTATCATAATAATTTAATTTACAAATAACTTTACACCGTCATTCAATGCATAAATGGATTAAGGATTAATATTACCAATAGTTTTATAGTGAGATTACATATATTCTGCACAATCAACTACTTAAAATATTATATTCCATATTGCTGATTCAGTAAATTTTTTGGATCTATTTTATATTCAATAAAATCTTTTACTTCTCCCTTATAATCTATTCTAAAGTACAGATTCCTGGATAATCATAGTAAACCTTATAAAAATCTTTGTCTCCACTACATGTACCTGATGATTTCTCTAAAGCCAAGGCTCTCAGTAAATTTGGATGCTTCAATTTAGTTTTTTATAGAAAATACTCTTTATCAGGAACATAAGTCATTTTACCTATTGAAATATTAATAATTATGTGTACTGAAGATTTTCACTTTAATGTCTGGTATGTATTAATAAATATCTATATTTCCAAGAACATTATGCTTTGAATTAGTTTCATACAACTCGAATGAGTGTTTTAATTATTCACTCCAATTCACTGTCATATTATTACCCATTTAACAAAATAAAATTAATTAAATCAAATATATCGTTTATAGGTATTAATTAATCCTGGAGTATTTTCTTGATCTTCCTAATTACCCAACACAGATTAAACTGCCTTTTTAATTTAATTTCTTTTATTTAATTCATTCTTTAATCTTTTCATTTATTCCCCTTAGAAAGCAACTACAACAACAGTTATGTTATCTAAGGTTCTCCTATTAATACTTTCCTTTAGAACTTATTCAACTCCTATACTACAACCTTAATGTATATTTGAATTGGAATCTAGCTCCTTAGTCATGATATCAACTACTTCATTAGATGACATTTTATCGAATATACCATCACCTAAAATATATATTATAATATTACTTGCTAAAACAATATATTAATGATCGTCTTGAATTTTAAAACTTCTTAGTTCTGGTTCTGCTACAACAACATTTGGTTTTCCACCAAATCTTTCTAATTTAGCTTCAATATCTCCAAAAGTTCTACTTACAGATAATCTTCCAGGTAATACTCTTAGAGGTCCAACAAAAACTTATTGTTCATCTTATAATTATTAAGTTCTTAATTTTTTAATATAATTAATTACTAATATATTTTTCCACCTGCTTTTTATATTCTTAATTTTTCTAATTCATCACAAGGTTTATGGTCTCGAGACAATGGTAATGCTGATTTATTATTGCCTCCACACAAAACTGCTCTACTATCCCCGACATTTGCAACATAACAAACATCACCAACTAATAAAGCAACTATTGCACAAGAACCACTTCTTTCAGGTATACCTTTATTGAATTAAGAAATAGCGTATTCTTAGAAATGTTATTCTGCTGCTGCGAAACCTTTTCTTAATGCTTCATATGGATTCCAAGGAAAATCTAATTCCTTTATTACAAACTGATGCAAATTATCTCTTAAGAAATCTGCACATGTTGAACCTCCATGACCATCATAAACACCAAAAAAAGAACACCTAGGCCAAGTTTCATGTTGCCTATTTTAGGGTTTAACGATATTCAATATTATGGATACTCTGTCTTCATTATAATCTCTTACTATCCCTTAGTTAGTGTTTGCAGCATATGCTCTAATTATGCCATTTTCATTGCTTGAACAACGTGTAGGTTCATAATTAGGTAATTTACTATTTCTTGTCAGTAATAAACCCTCTTAACTAAAATAAGCAGGCTGAGCAACTGCTTTTAATTTTTGAGTAGGACTCTAATCAAGATGTTTTTCAGAGTAACGATACTTGTTATTCTCCATAGACCTATTTATATTGTCTTGTTAAAAAGGTCTCTTAAATGGTATCTTAGGAGAATGAGAAGGAAGATTAACACTATATGCAGGATCACGATTATCTCGTACTTTCAAAGGATCCCAGATGTATTTTTAGTTTTTGTACATAGATTTGAAATTTAACTACTAATTTTTATTATTATTGTTTCATTTAATTTTAAATAACTATGCTAAACCTTATCTGAATTAATTAATGTTGTATTCTAATAGAAATGGTCTGTCTAGATTCTCAGATTTCATTATACTTATTAATGATATACCTCTAATTAATAATAGTAATATTAAATTACTCATTAACTGTTTGATAGATTAAAATTGATCCATCTGATAATTAAATTTAGCTTTGACCTGCATCATCTAATTTTCCATAAATGCATGTAACATCTATGAATACATCAATCATTTCAGAACAAAGTTAGAAATTAGTACTATGAAAATGTTAGGAATCACTAGCCAAGTATAATTTGGAATAAATTTCAAATAAAAAGGACTTTTCAATTTTACAAGATAGATTAAATGAATCTAATAGTGTTTATATAGATTAAGAATATGGTAATATTCTTTAGATTACTTTGCTAAAATGTTCCAAATATGAATGATCAAAGATAGAAGTTACATGAAAGTCAACCTTAATATAATTCATACTATTTTTAGATAATTCATCTGAGATGTCTTTTTAAATTTATTACAATAATTCTTAAAGTAATTATTAAGTATTACCATTCTTCTTATTATCTTCAATATCTGGATCAACCTTGTGAATGAAACAATGACATTCACAATGAGGGGATCTTTATTTGACTGTTTGAATAGCTTATCTTAAATATTAAACAGCCTCATTAAATGGTTCAGCCTATAGAAATGTATATAGAACATCTTTTTACCTATGAATCAATTACATAGATCATCAAACTACAAGTTTCCATAGCAGCTATTTCAGGAGGTTATGAATCATTTAAATCATAATGACCAGAAAACTCATAAATCTTAAAATGAATATGAGATCCTAAATTAACAGGAACAGATTCCATTCTATTTGTAGGATCTAATTAGAATGTTCTAAATATTTCAAGCTTTTAGAATATCACTCTTATCATTGAAGTTTTTCCTGATTTCGTCAGTCCAAACATGCAGATGTCATTGTTCATTAAATATATTTAAATAAATGTAATTTTTGGTAAAATCTTCAGGTCGAGTTGGATTCTTTGGTTTTGCTACAGCATCTGCCTCACATAAAGACATAGCAGGAAAGAATTTCTTAAAATTCCAAAGCAAATATGCTGAATATGTGACTCAATTCAATTAAAAGCTGTAAGCCATATATTTTAATAATATGATAGTGAAGCCATTGAAAAAGATAATAAGGCACCTAATGTTGCACCATAAGGTAAAGTATTTGAACATCCATACAATAATCCACATAATCCAGTTACTTTTAGTGGTGTAAGTGATAATTAATAAATTAGATCAAATCATCTGAATTGTTTTACAACTTTATTGGACCAGAATAAGTATCTCCACATTATGAAAACTTCCTTGTAGCTAGAAAATACCTACTCCTTACTTATGGTGGTTTGATTGTTATTGGATTTGCTGCAGGCACAACTAATCTACATTGGATTGCTAAATCATCATTCTTACCATTCTTATTTTGGATGCAAATTATGTACTTTTACTTGGAAGGTCGTAAATCATTCATGAAACCATTACTTGCTAGATTTTATAGAAGAGTTGCTGGAAATGAATGTTTCTAACTTGATTAATATTATCATGAAAATATGCAACTCAAAATTCGTACTCTTTTAGAAGCAGCTAAAGGATAAATTGAATATGGATAATTACATAAAGAATTTAGGGATGTTAAAGCAGAATTAATTAATACAGTATATCTTTATTTTATATTCTTAAGTTCCTTTTAAATGAATAATTAAATCTCTAAAGGCATGTTACAGAGAGATCTCATAATATCCTTAAATAAGTCTAATAAGCTGAATAAGTATAATAATTATTGAGATTTTAGATTAATCAAAATAGACTTTTATCAGATATTATTGAAGCTGCTCAAAAATCACTTGAAACTAATCTTAAGAGTAACCTTCCAGAAATTCAAAAAGCCTTATTCAAATCTGCTCTTAGAGGATTAGCTTAAGGAAAAATGACATATGAAAATGATCCTTTAATTGATATGATTCTTAAAACAATCAGAGAACATGTAAGCAAAATTCAAAATTTATCACCTGCTGAGTAAATACTTATCATATTCGATTTAGATAAAAAAAATTGATTTCTCTTAGCAAAGATTAATTAACAGCTATTCAAGCCAATGATAAAAAGTATATATATCTATTCTAATTAATTCAGAACAAAGGAAGATTACTTAAGAGCTGAACCAAAGATAGATTAAACCCTTAAAAACTATGACAATGTTAAGAGATAATTAGCATCTTGGGGACAATGAATATGAGCATTCAAAAATTATTACATTACATTAAATAAAATTATAATTTATTTTTAGATTTTATAAAAGTACTGTCTTTTTTTATGAGACAATTTAAAATTAATTCTTATTTTCAAATTATATAATCATGAATTTCCAAATGTTTAGATATATACTTTCTCATTTAAAAATAATTTTAAATATTTCTTAAATTATATTTTTAAATATAATACTTTTACTGTTTCTGAATTTCCAAATTTAATTATTATAACAAAAAATACCAAAATCTGAATGTTGGTATAAAGTAGATAATCTAATATAAAACTGCTTAGATACGCAACTCCCCATAAAGATGATTCCAAAACTGACTGATATTTTGCAACACTACCAAATATAATAAATAAAAAGAATAAAACACTTAATATTGCTAGATTAAACCCAATATAATTTAAACATAATTTTTAAGATTTTAGAAATAATTAAAGTAGCTTTCTATAAATTACTCCAAACAATGTTTATAAAATAGAGAGAGCAATAATAGTATTTAAGTTTATGATCTAAATAACATAGATATCTTACTTTTCCAAAAAATGTCAAAATACTAATTTCCCCTAGCAATGAAACATATAACATGATAGTTCTGTAAACCCTAGAACAATCCTTATCATATAAATAATATAAACTCAAAACTTTGTGATTAAGCTAAGCTTTTTAAGAAATAAATTACTTCAATATATTCTATAACAGCTTTGCATAAACTAATTCTTTAAGTTGAATATCTTTTATATAAGGATTGATCCTCTATTATTTATTGCCTTCTGTATGTTGAACGATTCTCTGAAAGAGCAAGTTTAACATTTGGACTTATAGCAGTTTTTGATCTTGATGATGCTTCTGCTTCCGTTTCTTCAATTATTCTCCCAGAACAAACATTAGTTGTGATACCAACACTTTTTTTACTTGCCAACATTTTATTATAATACTCAAACTAAGGGCGTTTTAATTGCTTATCTTCAAATGTGATTTAACTGTCATTCGAACTAAACATTGTTTTTTTTTAAGTTTCTTTTCTAAGACTACTAGTTCCTTCCATTGCTGGTATTTTCTTTTCAGATTCTATTTCTCCAACATTTATAATTCCTCCAGCTTTTTCAATAGCCATATCCCATTCTGATGGTGCAACTTTAGTTGAATTAAATAACAAATCTTCATTCTTACTTTGATCCATTTTATATCCATAAAAAATATACCACAAAAATAATATAGTATAAATTATCACTATATATGTAAATATAATAGATTGGTATTGACAATTTAACATTTTATCAATAGTTTAAAGAGAGAAGAAATCTATTGTTTCATCAAATATTTATTGTGTTGCTTCTAAAATTGTTGTTGAAGAAACATACTAACATTAACATATTACTTTCTAATCTTCCTTTACTGTTTTGCAAGCATCTAAACCCCAATTATCTTAAACTTTAGAGACACATTCAACTATAAGATTTTCTTTTTAATTTTCAAAATTATATCTAATGCCCTAGGATTAACTTAAATTATAAACTAACACTTAATTAGATAATTATTTAATTTCGGGTTAATATAAAGGGTAATCATTTTATTAGTTGTAATTATTCATAAAATAAGTATCATATTTATAAGGATTTGATTTATAAGTAATCATTTTATATGAATATGTTTCTAAGGAAGAATTTAAATTATTCTATTATTCATTCTATCCAATAACTTATGGCGCAGTCAAAGAGCTACTTATTGTATTTTCTAATACTTTTTATGTTGCTTTTTAGGTTGAAATATTGAATGAATCGGTCATTATTGTTTATTAATTACCATTAATTATTTAATTTTATAGTTAAATTTCAGTTATTACATTTATAGAGTCCATTATAATGTAATTATTAGTATTTTTACCATCATAATCTTATTCGCTTGTTAAAACTCGTTTTTTTTATTAGTAAATATTATTTACTTTATATAATTCATTGATATATTTTGCTATTTCAATAGTTTCTTCTAATAAACTCACTTTTAAAAACTCTTTTTAAGTATGTTCAAATTTATCATATTCAATAACATGTAGATTAGTCATTTATAAATTAATTTTATTCAATCTTTCTTTTGATAAAGATAATTCACTATCAATATCACTGAGTTCCCTTTCTATATACTTTATAGTTAGTGTTTTTAAAGTAAGTAATTATTTTTGAGTAATACATTAACAATTTGAAAAATAATTAATTTATTATTGAATAACTTCTTTAATTTCTTAAACATTAAGATTATCTTCATATTATAAACTTGTAGCATAGATTAAGGTTTCACTAATAGATGATGAATTTATCAATAACTATCTTAAAGTTCCTTATTCATATGTAAAGTTTAATGAGTTTGTGTAATTGCAAATTCCATTAAGATTATCTTTGACCTATATCATTAATTAAATCTCGCCATTACCTGTTAATTAAGTTTGAAATAAATTATTATATTAATAGTCAATTAAAATGATTCCTTTTTAAATAGTATTAATTGAATAGTCAAACTTTAGATCTGAAGAATTTAAATAAAGCACTAATCTATATTATAAAGGTAGATTTTCATCTTAACAATTTGTTATTTTTATGGAAAAATTAGTTATTGTAGATTCATTTACTCTAAAAAGATTTATTTAGCATTGCAATGGTGGAATATTAATTTTTAATGGTATTGTTAATTATGATGGTGAAAAGTAATCAGGATTATATATATTGATCTTTAATGTCATATGTTTGGTTAATTATTCAACAGTAAAATAATGCCAAAGACTAATTTATAACTCTAAATAATTGAATCTGAAATGCTTGATTAATAAGTTCGAATTTGACAATATTCCTGTATACATTAATAAATCAGGGTTTTAAATAATTTCTAGATACTTAAACTTAAATAAAAGTTAATCATAAAAGTTTATATATCCATTAGAAACATCTGGATAGGCCTCAAATTCTATTTTTGGAACATCTGTTTCAACAATAGTAATTGTTGCAAACTAGTATAAATCTTAATAAATTGCAGAAAACATATACACAGAAAAAGGAGTTAATGTATAAGGTTATATGGTTAGATTTTAAGAATTTGGAAATTCTAATTTGGTCTGATTTAAGGTTTTGCATTCAGAATTTTAAGTAATATCAAAGCAATCCCATTCGAGTGCAGGATAAGGATTAGCTATATTTTTTACTTATCCATGTATTAATAATATCTATGAAAAACTTAAAAAGTTAGATTAAGTAAATAATTAAATACTTGGCTCTTCATTTACAATTAAAATCTAGAAGCTATCTTGTATAATAAGATTTTCTTTTAAATTAACTCCTATATTAAGCTAATAAAGATCAGCATTCAGTAAGTATGGCTCTATCTAATAGATATAATATTCTCCAAATGCTATTTCAAATTGCTTATAAAGAGTGCCAATCTTTGTTGAAATATTTAACTTTAACTCATTAGTAAAAGTTTGTGAACAATGAGAAACCTAAATGTAAAATTGTATCAATTAAGAAGTGAAATACTAGCTTGTTTGTAATTAAACATTTAAAAATAATTTTGCTGTTAATTGTTTAATTGTAATAAAGCTACTTCCTTAAATTCCTAAAAAATTTAAATACTTTAATTCCAATAAAATTTCATTTTGCATTTCTAATATATCATTTGAGAATTCAAAAATGATATTTTGTTGTTAATTTTTAAATTGATTCTTCAGATTTTCAATAATCTCAGTTATTTTAGAATCTTATTAAGTTACTCGAATCAATTTCCAATCAATAAAAGTTATTGGACTACTGCCAAAATTATATGATTAAATTTAATAGATTGAATCTGGATTATTCGAACAAGCAGATAAAAGAACTTAATTTTTAGTAAATATTATTTATGGTGCTTCTAAATCTGTACTTTTTAATAATATATTATTAAAAAATTAAGCCACTGAATTTTAACATTCTTAAAATTAAATAATATTTATTTGAAATATGATTTAAAGCCCAAAATAAACTTTAGCATTTTCACCCAAAATGACATCTATTGAAAATTATTGAATAAAACATATTGGTTAAATTCCTAAATATTTTAGAGTTTATTCTTCAAAAATTGATAAACAATCAGGATTAATCTTTCTAATTTTTTTTTCAAATGAAATAATTAACTTTTTGATGTTAGGACTCATTTTAATATCTAAATTAGCAACAGAACAATCTAATTATTATATTTCATACCTGTACACCAAATAAAATTTGTATTTTAATCAAAATTATCTTAACATTAACATAAAGGTGGATTTTATCGATTACCTGAACAAGTTAAACAATTATCTCTAAAAGAATCACAAGTAGAACATTAAATGTTGCATGGTTGGCATGACTTATTATTACTTTCAAAATATCCTACAATTATAAAATTGGTTACCTGCTTCACAAATACAAGAAGGAGCATTTATTCTCCCTTATGTACATGTTAAGCATATTTATGCATCATTGCATGTTTCACAATTATATTAGCAATCCTAACAAATATTATTGTTAATAAATTAATTGGCTTAGCAATATTGACATTCATTATTATTATTTAGAATTTAGTTATTCAAACATGATAGGCATTAAGATTTCTCATTCCCAAAACAAGTTAAACAATTTAAATTACATTTAGAACATATTCCATTATCATAATAGAAACCTGTATTACAATTCATGCAATTTGGCAGAATAATTAGGTTAGTTCCTTATTTACATTATGTACAACTATATGCATTAAGGCATTATTCACATTCTTATTTGCATTTTTAACATTATTAGTTAAGATTATCATCATAATAACCAATATAACAACTACAATCATTATTTCTAAAATTAGTCGAATCACAAAGTGCACATTTGTTATGGATTAACTAATATGGATTTATACATGTTGTGCATTAATTTGATGAACAAATATCGCAATGATAATCACAAAAGTCAATCAAAATATAGATATTACTTAAAGCTAAGCTAGCTTCATAAGCAGAAATAGACAATGTTGTTTAAAAAGTTATTTCAGCTGCACTTGATGTATGCTCTATTAACAAAATAATTTCTTCAATATAATCATTTGAATTCAAATAAAATAGATTAGTAGTTGCCTTTGAAGATTAATAGGAAACTTAATAAATAATTTAGTTATCCAATTTAATAATAAATTACTCATTAGTCCAATTATCTATAAACCAAGCATTTAAGTATATTCTTAATTTATTATGTGCAGGGAGTCCATTAAAGAAAGTAGTATAATATCCATGACTCCAAACTCCGAACCCTCCCAATAAATATTAATTATTATAAGTTGAAAATATTTATCCTGTTTATTTAGATAACATGGAATTGAACGTAAAAGTAAATTAATTAATTTAGCTTAACAGATCAATATCAAAACCATCAAAATATTTTCCAATATATTCAGATCCCCAAGTAGATTATTCTGAAAAATCAACACAAATATTATTTTATAAAGAACTACTTTTTGGGCAAGTTGTGACACAAGTTCCTTAATAAAGGATAAATCCATTTTCACAAACATTACATTTTGATTGTACACAACTTTAGCAATTTAAAGAACAATTTAATTAGCATTTTTAATTCTAACTAGTATAATATTAGGGACAAGTTTAAACACATTCATAATTATAAGATGAATATCCATTTTGACAGGTACATTTACCATCTTATATCATACCATTTGGACAAGTTAAGCAATTAACTTCTAAAGGACCATTACATGTTAGGCAAGTAAAATGACATAACTATGGAGTCACAACAACATTTTTAATTAATAATCTCTCACATACTGAATATAATGATAGTAAGGTACACTAAAAACTAGATTTTATTTCTAATGTTGGATTAAGGTTATCATGTATTATGTTCTATCTTAATGTGATCAATTATTAATTATATAAAAATATTCTAAAATTATTGTAATATTTACAAAAATGCATTTGTCTTACAATAATTGTTGGGAGTATTGAAATTAGATGTGCTTATAGATGAATCAGAATAAATTGTTTATGAATCTATAATTATATTTATATAATTTGATGTTCCAGACCAATATTCAATGAATAAAAGATCTAACGTAACTTACAATGAATAGTGAGGTTACAGATTATTAAATACTTTTTTAATATTCGTGTCAATCTTTCCAATAAAGGGTCCTATCGATTATTAATTGTCACAAGAAAATTTTTTAGTGAATGGAGTAGAATCTTGATTTTGCCATTCTACATTTTGTGGTGATGTTCCTTCCATTAGATCTGTGATTGAAGAACTTTTTGTTATTATCATCAATAAAGCCAAAAAGAGGAACATTTTATTTAAATAATTATTAATATCAGATTTATCAACAATTAAGAAAAGCAACACAGATTTAATTTTTTTACAAAAAAAATTTATTACAAATTATGCAAATCTTAAGTAAAATCAAGCATTTTCTTAATCCAAAAAGTACATCTCTGATTGATGATAAAGAGATACTTATCCAATTAATAAATTTTTCTACCAGCAATCTATTCTCCTAATACAACTTTAGAAATTTCTGAAAAATTAAATTCAGTAATATAAAATTTAAGAACATCTTCTTAAATA